GAGATCGAGTACTCCCTTTATTCGAAAGATGATCATCTCCCTCCAACAACACACAATAAGAAGAAAAGCTACTTTACTTTCTCGGTTGGTACACAAACCAGGCAGATGGATTATATTCCTTCCTCTGCACTTTGACATGAGGGAGCCAATCCTCTGATGGACACTTCATCGTCCACGCTTTAATCCATTGTTTTGTGGTCAACTCCACTTCAAATAGCACTGTTTGGCTGCTTCAATACTAGAACTTAGGGATCGTTTGGTTTTGGTGATACTTAGGTTAGGATAGTTACAATACATGTATTGTGTATAATACAACGTTTTTTTGAATTTTTCGCACAAAAATTACATGCATTGTTTGTTTGATTTGACAAATGAGTGATAGTTAAATCTCAAGTTTTTGTTGAGATTGTTTAGTAGAGATTGTTGGGTTTTGTTTTGTTCCAACCATGTCTCTAACTTTTTTTATATGTGTTGCTTTTTTAATATTAAAAATAAAGGGCGAAAGTGATTTCATCCAGAAAGTAATGTAACTTATTTCAATATTTGAATAACTATCACAGAAACCAAGGTTGTTAAACCCCATCCAACTCCCGATTGGACCCGGTCCGACCCGAGTCGAGCTTTAAAACGGCCTCCAGAAAGCCCCCCGGTCTGACCCCTAAAGAGGGAGAAGAAGAGAGGGGGGAGAGAGGAAGAGGAACGAAGAAAGAGAGATGGTGGGGGGATTATGGAGGTTATGTAGATTTATTTTGTGAAAAATAAGTTTTTAAAAGATATATAAGATAAATTTTATTTCAGCCATTAAATCTTTAATTACTATCTTATTTTGATATATATTTAGAAAATGTCTAAAACGGTTCAAACCGGCCGGACCCCGATCAGACCATTAAACCTCAAACCCCTTGCTTGACCGGCTCAATGACTTAAACCGGTTTGACAACCTTGACAGAAACCAAACAATATAAACTATAATAGACCAATTTTCTTATATACATGTATATTATTATGCATGCATTGATGACAATGCATCAATTTAACTATATACATATAAATTACTTTGCTCTAGTCTTTCGATCTACAACACAATCATGTTCACTTTGTTGGGCTTTTTGGCTACCAAAAATGGGAGCACAAGTTCTTTGGTGCACAAAGAATCTCATAAGTGAAAAGAATATTGAAGGACCATTCTTTTTGGTGTTCAAATTTCACCTTTGGGTTTTTTTACCCTCCTCCCCAACTTGAAAAAGAAAGCTGCAAAATTTTTGGGGGTTCAAAGCACAAGAGGGTAAATTCGATGAAAAATGTGTCTTTTTATAGTGGGTAAGTGTATTTCTTGGCATTTGGCCATGGATATTTTGATTCTCTCTTCTCCTATCCCTTTTTCCTTGGGTTCCCAAACCAGGAATTTAATCGACTTTTTTCACAACCCATTTTAGGAGAAGGGAGCCTGTTGGACATGTCTGTGGGAGGCCCAACAATGAATGTAGAGTGTAGACGTTCTAAAGTTATGGGCTTTTGGCCTGATATGTTTGGCAGCAATTCCTTGGGCCTCGTGGATTGCAGAATGGCCCTAACATTTTTTTAAAATGTGTGCAAAGCATCGTTATCTCTTAATCAAGAAGCGTCCAACGACATATATCTAGGTACAAAATATCGATAGTATGTCACCCCAAATACATATAATAACCCTTACGCACAAGACAATCAACCAAAAAATTGGCCTTTCTATAAATATGGGTGATTCTAACTAATCACTTACGCCGTAGCAGAGCATGAAATTAGAGACTCCAATGGGTCGGGTTAGGTTGAGTTTTGTCAAAAGCGAACCCAAACCCATGGGTATATCCAGCAAAAAAATCAGGGGGTAATATTCAATGGGTTTGGAAACTCAAACTCAATCCAATCCGCTGGGGTATCCACGGGTTCCTGGATACCCATGGGTTCTATAAATGCACAATAACTTCATGTTAAAATGAATGTCCAATATCAATCTTCCTCTACAAATTATTCGTAAAAATAAATACTAATCTTGAACATACAAGCAAACCACAAACTATCCATATCAAATTGTTCAACATCAAAGATAAAACATCTGTAAAAGAACATAATTAATTGAGAACTTCTTCCTTCTTGCCAACTAAACTTCTTCATTTTTTCACTCCATAATATCAACTTCATCAATACAATTATGAAGAATAAATTATACGATTATAGGTTGGATATGGCTAAACCCGAACCCAACCCCGAAAAATAGTAGAACGAGTTTAAAGTCGAACCCATCATGTAATCTGTCAACACGAGTTTTACCTGCTTTAACCGAGTTGGATCGGGCAGGGCATCCGTGAATATGGTTATATTGTCATCTTACCGAAAATGGCTAGGTAAGACTGTCCTGCTGGTGACAATGTTGACCTGTATCCTGAAGCACCTTGATCACCATTGTGGAATCAAGTTGAAGCTCAACTTCGCGATGTCCTTTGTCTCATGCTATCTCTAGGCCCTTCGGTGCCCCTTCGGAATGATCATAAGTAACATAAGGATATATATCAGTAACTATGAGGTTTTCCTTAGCTGCGGGTAGGGTTGTAAATGAGTCGAGTCGAGTCGAGTTTTACCCTAATTTGAGTTCGGTTCGTTAATAAACGAGTTGAGCTCGAGCTCAGCTCTCAACTCGTTTATTAACGAGCCGAGTCGAGCTCGAGCTAGCTTGTTTACTAAAATCTTAACTTTTATTTGGTACTTCTTTTTGTATATCATGACACATAAGATTTATTTTGTTAATTAATCTCAGATTATACTTTATTGGTATCATATATCATTTAGTTAATAAATTTAACTACTCCAAATCGAAACAATTTATGATACATAATTTCTTTTTAAAGTATAAAATAAGATATTTGCTCACATACTCAACGTGTTAAACTTTATATATGGTGAGACATATAATTTAACAACCATATGAATTAAAATCATAAGATATAGATTGATTCGTCCATAAGTCGGTAATCGAGTTGGCTCTCTAGTCACATGTTGAGACATATCATAAGCTCTAAACGAGTCAGCTCACAAGTTTAGCTCAACAAGCCAATGAGTCGAGCTAGCTCGCGAATTTCACGAACTGAACAAAACTAAACTCATGTTTGGCTCGTTTATTAACAAACCGAGTTTCGAACGAACTTTCTCGAGTCGAACGCCGAGCCGCTTGACTCATTTGCGGCACTAGCTGCGGGCCAGAGGGATACGCTACTGAAATTTTTTGGTACAGATGGTAGCATGGTGGCTCAATTGGTAGCCCGTAAAATCTTGTTCTTGCCTGCTGCTTTCGGCCAACTCCGTAGCAGATTGGGGGAGGGGAAAAAAAACGAACTTTCTCGAGTCGAACGCCGAGCCGCTTGACTCATTTGCGGCACTAGCTGCGGGCCAGAGGGATACGCTACTGAAGTTTTTTGGTACAGATGGTAGCATGGTGGCTCAATTGGTAGCCCGTAAAATCTTGTTCTTGCCTGCTGCTTTCGGCCAACTCCGTAGCAGATTGGGGGAGGGAAAAAAAAAAAAAAAAAACTTCGCCCACCTTGGGGCTCGAACCCAAGACCACAAGGTTAAGAGCCTTGCGCTCTACCGACTGAGCTAGACGGGCTTACCGTTTTTACTATTTACAGACTGGATTAATCACAGCTTAGGGTAGAAATCAATATTACAATTCGTCTATTATGCTTAACATCAATCCCTTGTAGGTTTGTTAATGAGTGTAGCTGTTCACGTGCAGCTCAACACTCGGATTCGGGGAAAACTCTTTCAAATATTGGCTCGGTTATATTAACGAATCGAGTTTGAGCTATTTCTTATTCAACTCGGGACTTAGGAGGCTCGTGAGTCAGCTTGATTCGGTGGCTTGTTGAGTTCAGCTTGTGAATTCTCTTGTTTTGACCTATTGAGATGTCTCGACACCGTGGGTGATGAGCCAACACGACTGTCGGCTTATGAAGTTAAATCGGAGCAATGATATGGACCAGTTTGACAAGGCAAAAACACATTATTGTTTTTTTTCCCCCCGTTGAATAAAGTCTTAAAAACAAAGGGTAATGTCTATTTTTTATCCAAATTTTTACAGATTTTTTTTATATTATCCAAACCTATCGAAATACTAAGAAATAGCCAAATATTAATTTTGAGTTAGCAAGTTTGTTAGTAATATCGACTTGGCAACATGATACTGACTTTGAACTTTGAAGAGACACATGAATGTCAACATTCCAATTTTTTGTATTTTAACTAGGAAAAGAGTTACAAAAGTATTAACGTTAACATAAAAATGACTAATATTTAGATGCATTAAGAAAGATTTGACTAATTATTAACATTTTAATAGGTTTGGATAATATAAAAGAATCTAAAAAAGATTTGAATAAAAAAATAGATATCACCCAAAAACAAATTCTACCTACCAACTGTGAATTGGGCTTGTAGACAGTTAGATCCCACAGGTCTGATGCCCTTCCAGAGGTAAGACTTGTGCTCGGCCCATCTTCAGTTAAACAAAAGCCCATGACATATTAGGTCCAAGCCCAAAATACCTGCCGATCTGCCTTCTTGCTCCTTCCATTGTTTTCTGAAGGAGGGAAATAAGGTCGTTTGTGGTTTGCTTCACTCTTTGTCCCAACACCCCAATCGGGAAAAAAAAGGAAGAATTAGAATAGCTCCGGCAATTAATCGAAGTAATTAATCAAAACTTTTTCCGTTCAACTACTCATCCCTGCCCTTCGCCTTCACCTGCTCTTCCTGTCGTCCGCGGCAAACACTAAACACATGTTCTGCCATCTCAGCTGACACCCAGTCTTCTGCGCTCTCAGTTCAAGGTCGGGTTCAGACTTCAATCGAGGTGGAATCCAGCCGGCGCTTCTGATTGAACAAGAAAGAAGAAGATCGAAAGGCGAAATTTGGGATTTTGGGTTTGCGGCTCTCTCTATGGACCGGAATCGAGAAAGTCGACATCTTTGTTGATGCCGGAGACGAGCAAGGGTGCCGGCGAATATATAGCAAGGGAGGAGCGGCGGCGGAAACCCATCGCGAGCGAGATGCGCCGGGAGATGCTTGTCTGGGTTCACCCCAAATGCTTCCTTCTCTTCACTGGCATTCTAATTCTGCTCATTTTCGCCTTCTATAACTCGCAGACGGTACGGTTTCTTAGCTCGAGTAGGATGGTCGATCCCTAGATTGCTCTGCATTGTGTTGTTGCAGTTTGCTTGGATCTGGTCGTCGTTGAGGGGTTCCGTTTGGTTTTAGTGTCTGTGATCTGATTTTTGATGCGGGTTTCTTTTTTCCCGGATTGGGAATCAGTGAAGTGAGGGGAATTTGAACATTGGGTTTAGGCGTATATTGGATTCTCTGTTGTGTTATTTTCCTGATCTACTGGTGCTGTGCTGATTTAGTCCCTTGATTATGGATATGCATATATGAGTTTAAGTGTCTTAATTGCAGTTTTATGTGATGACCGAAGGAAGAAGCAATGATTGCTTAATCAGAAATAGTACGATACTTGTAACTTTCAACTCATGCCAGTATCGTTCGTTATCTGTAGTCTGTACTACTTTGTGGTTAGGATATTGAACTGGTGGTATGGATGCTCGTAGTACAAGCTTGCTTTGTGGTCTCATTAACTAGGTAGGTGACTATATCAATTGATGACCAGAGGAATACAGTAGGTGATAGGTACTGGAGAGTGAGGTTGATGACCACAGGAATACAGTAGGTGACTATACCCAGTTGAATCTTCTAGTGGTTAATGACTATATCAATTCATGACCAGAGGAATGCAGTAGGTGACAGGGGCTGGAGAGTGAGGTTTATCAGGTGATTCAACTGGGTGTAACTCTATGGAATGAATGTATGCAGCAGACTGATTAAGATGATTGTTTCAATGCCCATTATCATTTTCTAGCGAACCAACTCATTTAAGACGTGAGCGTCAGCTCTTTTCAACCAATTCATGCATATTCTGCATTTGAGAGTAGGCTTGCTTCTGCCCGAGCTTGTTATTAGCTATAACATAGTGGATGTGCTCTTGCTGTCTGTCTTCTTGTACTAGCTTAACCCCAATGTCGAGTGGGAGAAGTTTTTGTTTGTAGCTTAGCTTTCGGAATTTGTCACTCCTGTGTACCAGTAGACTTTAGACCAGACGTTTCATTGATTTGCCACGGTTTTATGTGTCGGTATAATTTAATGACTTTAGCTAATAAACATGTACCGATTTTATTCCATCAAGTTTCTACCATCCTGTAACCTCTCTACTGTGTTTATTGCAGGTTTTTCATTTTTCCATCCAATTTAACTTTACAGTCTAGAGTCACCACAACTTTAACCTATAACTTTGAACTGTTGTGCAGGCTGAAGAGAATAGAGAAGTGGAGTATGAGATCACTCATAGAGTATACTTGGATATTGATATTGAGGAGCAACGTTTAGGTATAGATTTTTCTCTTTTAGTTTAACAGGCCCCATGAATTGCCATGCTCTTTGGTCTACCTATCAAGATATTATTCTATCCTCAGAGCTACTAATTGTCACTCGTCAATTTCATTCCTTTGCTACTATTCACATTTTTTTAATTGGATCATGCAGGTAGAATCGTTATTGGATTATATGGTCAGGTTGTACCGAAAACTGTAGGTATGTCTGTTCATGTGCCATTGAAGTTATTGCCTTGAAAGTATCACTGTGGTAATTGGAAATTTCACTCTACTGTTAAAAAGATGCTGAATTTCGGGCCTACCTTTTAGAATTAAGCCTGAAAGTAGCAAAAAGTGGTCCCTTTTATAGTTCTCTCCTCTGCTTTTAAGAGTATGGCCTTAGTTATTGTTACCTCTTGTTCAATAACTTCTCAAAGTTAGGTAGTTTGCCAGGCAATTTGCTGAGAGCATCTCCGACTCGTGCATTTCCCTTGTTCTTGTTTTCTAAGCTTTGGGTTCTTTTTTTTTGTGTTTGCAGAAAACTTCAGGGCATTGTGTACAGGTACCAACCAGAGTTCGTACCCATTAACTTCCTTCTTCTGTCCTGCTTTTTAACCTCTTGTATCTGATATGATACCACCTTTTTTCCCCATACAAGCTCTGTGCTTACTTACTGTTATTCTCTTGCAGGTGAAAAAGGCACAGGTGCAAATGGGAAGCCTCTCCACTATAAAGGAACCCCATTTCATCGAATCGTATCAGGGTTCATGATCCAAGGTGGTGACATAGTCCACGGAGACGGGAAGGGGAGTGAATGCATCTATGGCGGCAAATTTCCAGATGAGAATTTCAAGGTAAAACATTCCCATGCCGGCGTAGTTTCAATGGTAAATACAGGACCAGATTCAAATGGGTCGCAGTTTTTCATCACCACCATAAAATCCAGCTGGTAAGTAAAAGGTCTCATCTCTCAACTCTTTGGCTCTAAAGGCCCTTCTTCCTACTATCATTCGAAGGCTTTACGAACAATATATACGCGATTGTCTGTGTGGTATAGGTTGGATGGAGAGCATGTGGTGTTTGGGAAAGTGGTTCAAGGGATGGACTATGTATATGCCATTGAAGGTGGAGCTGGAACTTACAGTGGGAAACCCAGAAAGAAAGTTGTGATTGCAGACTCTGGTGAAATACCAAAGGACAAGTGGGATGAAGAAAGAAGATAACCCCCACACCCTTTTTTTTTGTAGCTTTGTCTATTCATTCTTGCTCCACTCTTTGTATCATCTGTTCTCATCACATCACTAATTATTATTCATATAATCTTAAATCTACTAGAGAAAAGAAACCAGCCCACTTCTTACTTAGAAATGTATTCCAACTTTCATCTTTTTCCTTCTTCTGCCTGCCATGATTTTGTTTAGATTTGTATTTGGCAAATGTGATTAATATAAACTTCCCATTTAACCTTTGCTTTGAGCTCATTGTGGTGCTTGAAATTGGTTGTGTTAATTACTTAATTATCATGCTGATCTGTTTGTGTGGCCACGTGTGCAGTGTGCTCACATGGCAGTCCTTGCTGGCAATTTCTTCCAGCTAGACTGGTTTGATTACACCACGTTAAGCAAAGTTGACAACTTTGGTTATTTTAAGGATTCCAAATCTGCATACCATGGCGCTACCAAGATAATTTATAATTATCATTAAAGTTTCCATTTTTAATATTGAGCTGGGCAGCCGCCCTTCCCAGATTTCCCACTTCCCTTCCTCTATACCAGCTGCCCGAATCCGCCGCTGAGTCAACTCGTAGCCAGAGCAAAACATTCTCAGTAGCATCAGCAGACTCCTTTCTCAGCTCCGACCACTGCCGCCCGATTTGGCGGAATTTCGCAGATAAAGTTCCCATCTTTTCCCTTTCTCAAGCTATGATGGGAAGTAATACTGACGAACAGGATAAAAGAATTGTTGCCCTTTACGATTCGCCTACCACTTCATCATCATCCCCAACTCAGCCGCTGCTCTTCAAGCCGCCGCTAGACGATGAGCACAGCTCCGACCCTAATCCAGAATCCGACCCGACCCAGTTCCTCCAGATCTCTTACAACTCCGGTCACCGGCCGTTCAAGGACCTGCCCTTTCTCATCCTATTCCTCCTGGTTCTTCTCAGCACTCTCGGATTGGGAATCTTCTCAATCGTCCACAGAAACCCCAATTACGGCAACCGTTCGTCGTTTACTTTCGACTCCCGATCGGCCACCTGCGTTCCCGCCAGCCCGAATTCAGCTTCCACAGGCGGCAATTTCTACTATTTCCTCGTCAATTCGTTGGGCTCCAGTGGGTTCATCAGCGGGCTGATATGGGCAATTGTTATCACGGTGATTCTCAGCGGACCCATCTGCTTTCTCCTGCTTTTCTCTCTCAGGCATTATACCAAATACCTTGTGTACGCTTCTCTTCCCTTCTTCATCATCATGCCTGTCTTCTTTAACGTCTACTGGTTCGTTGCATGCACGCTTAGCTCGTCCTGCAGCGATGAACTGCCACTGGGTTATAGGATTTTCGTCATGTGTCTCATCTTTGTGGTGATCGGGGTCCTTGTTTGGGTTCTAGTTGTGAATTGGTATCGGGTTGAGCTGACTATAAGCATAATTGGGATTGCCGCCGATGCCCTGTACAAGAATTTGGGTCTGTTTGTGGCTCTGCCGCTGTTGACGTTTGGTTTGGTGGTATACTATGCTCCCTTTGTGGTGTTCTTAGTATTTGCGAGGTTTAATGGCAAGATTGTGCCCAAAGAATCGAATGGAGAATATCATTGTGGTTGGAAGGAGGATAGTTGGGTGCCTGCTTACTTCACGCTTGGGATAGTTACCTTGTTGTGGTCTTCTGCAATAATGGTGGAAGCTCAAGTTTATGTGATCAGTGGGACTATTGCTCAGTGGTACTTCTCGAAGGACGACTCCCCTCCTAAACGTGGCATAAGAACTTCATTGCGGTGATTGATTCATCCTAGTTTTGTTTTTCCACTTTCAGATAATTGCCACACCATCTTCATGATCTCATTGATGTGTCTATAAACCCTTTTTAGGAATGCATTTGGCCCATCTTCAGGCAGCATATGTCTCTCTGGTTTGATTATATTCATCGTTCGCATGGTGAGAGGTGCTGTCGATAGTGCAAAACGAGAAGATAGTCCGGGGATGGTGAATCTCGTGCTCCGAACATGTGTCAATCTGTTCCTCTCTTCAATCGAATTTCTGAACAAGTTCACCATCAATTTCGTGGCGATAACTGGGGAAGCCTACTGCACTTCCGCGAGAATGACTTACGAGCTCCTGAAACGCAACCTTCTCTCCGCAGTTCTGGTGGAGGTTATCTCTACTCGTATATTGGCTGGCATCACTTTCGTGCTCTCAGCCGTGTATGCAATTGTGGTGAGTTCCTTCTCATCAGTCTATCAGGTTTTGCAAAATGAATGGCATAGGATAACATCAATCATCACAATGTCTCTCTTACTTGCCTGTGCAGGTGTGTGCAATACTGAAGGGTGCCACGAGTCTTGGGACTGATGCATACTACATTGCGATCCTCGCATGGTTGGTGCTGATCGTTGTGCTGGGATTCTTTGTACATGTGCTGGACAATGTGGTCGACACGATTTACATATGTTACGCGATAGATAAGGATAGAGGGGAAGTGTACAAGTCGGATGTTCATGAGGTTTATGTGCATTTGCCCATCAGTAGAAACCAGAGGCCGAGCTTGGCTCCTAGAACTGATGCAGTTGTATGAGTATGATCAGCTGCTGCATTTTCAGCAGAGGGTTTATTTTCTAACGTTCTGTAATGTTGCTTAGTGTTCTGTTCTTGTTTGATGAGGTGAGAGAGTTCATGGTTTCCGGGGACTGGTGATCTGTGAATATACTTTTTGGGTTGCTGCTGCTGCATTGTAAAGCTTTTGAAGTTAACCGTTGTTGTCTGTTTGTTTGTTGATTGCATTTGTGAATATTGTTTTTCGTGTGTTTGTTATTTCCTCAATGTTGGTACAAATTTAACTTTAACTTGTATCTATATATGCTCGTATAAAAATCTTTATGGTAAAAACTTAATTTGTCTTTAATGTTATGGTACAAATTAAATTCATGCTAAAAGACACTAGTGATTCATAACATAGTACGAGCTCATCATATGAAATGAAGACTCACCTTTGTGTCAAGAAGTTCTACTTCATATAGGTTAAGGGTGCAATATGTGAATTTTAATTAAAAACACGATGTGTTAATGAAATGACATATTTTTCACCGTCATTGAAATTTGATTTGCTCGTTAGAGCTTCAACAGTTCATTTACCTACTTCGTCCTTAACGAAACAAACACAACATTTTTCATTCACTTTTCCCGTAAGTATTACAAGAAAATTGTTTTAAAGGAATCAAAGGTTTTGTGGAAAACAAATCCTAATAGGAAAGGAAAAGGAGGAACATAAATAAAAAGTTACAAGAAAGACCGAAAAATGAAAAATAAACAAACCAATATAAACAATAGCGCCGCTGCTCCCTGGCCCTTCTAGCAAGAAAACTTTCGACTTTCGAGTCTCCTACAGAAACAGCTTCTCGACTACTCTCTCTACCTCCGACTCCGACGAGCTACTTTCTCCGGCGACGACAATGGTTCTCGAGGTTAGTTTCGGCAGCTCATCCTCTGATTTTTATCCCATTCTGTCTCGTTCATCTCGCCTGCGGTCTGTTTCTAGCGCCGAGGGTTCCGAATTAGTTAGCTTCTAGTCCCGAATTCGATTCAATCGCTGCGAAACAGAAGCTTCGATGAAAATAGGGGTTTCTGTATTTTTCTCACATTGGGTCTTGTTTTCAGGCGACTATGATATGCATTGACAATTCCGAATGGATGCGCAACGGCGATTACACTCCTTCCCGTTTCCAAGCGCAGGCCGATGCCGTCAATCTCATCTGCGGCGCGAAAACTCAGGTACTATTGAGTGAAAAGAGTTGAAATTTAGGGTTTTTTGTCCTCGATTGGTTGGCTTGTTCTCTCTAGCTGTTTGTTTGGTCTCTGGTTTGTAATAGTTGTTTGATTTGGGAAACCTTGCAGTCGAATCCGGAGAATACGGTAGGGATTCTGACGATGGCTGGGAAAGGAGTGCGTGTTTTGACTACTCCCACCACTGATCTTGGGAAGCTCCTAGCATGTATGCATGGTACGGGTAATGCTACTGAAACTTTGAGGTCGTTTATGTACGGAATTCGTGTTATTTTGGTCAAGTGTTCTTGAGTTGGGATAAATGGCGTTCATGGCTGATGGTTATGGGGAAAAGTTCTCTAATTTGTTGGTATTAAGTTGAGAAAACGATGTTAGAAGATGGAAAGGTGTTGGAATGTAAATCTGCAAGCTCTAACTTAGATGCTTCCCTCCCAGCTGCGACTCTGCCTATTTTGTATACTAGTTTGAACTTTTAATTGGATTCGGATAACTGATTATGTAAAACAGATGACTAAAGTTGTCTTCACCATGACATTTACATCCTATTAATCAGTTTCATTAGAACACCGGAAGTTTCTCATTCTAGTTTCTCTACAGGTCTGGAAATGGGAGGTGAAATGAACATTGCATCTGCAATCCAGATTGCTCAATTGGCTCTTAAGCATCGTCAGAACAAGAATCAGCGACAAAGGATCATAGTGTTCGCTGGAAGGTAGCTCATTTGTTTCTTCAAGAAGTTTATTTATTCGCTGAAACTTACATCTGAACTCAAAACTGCTTCTTTTCATCTGTACCTGTTTGCAGTCCAATTAAATACGATAAGAAGATGCTCGAGTCCATTGGCAAGAAATTGAAGAAGAGCAGTGTATCTCTTGATATTGTTGATTTTGGAGAAGAAGATGAGGGGAAGCCTGAAAAATTGGAGGCCCTCCTAACAGCTGTCAATAACAATGATAGCAGCCATATAGTTCACATTCCTCCTGGTCCAAATGCCCTATCTGATGTTCTCATCAGGTTTGTTGCTTTCTTTTGTTTACCTCAAGGCATATACGATATGGTTAATCATTGTCTTTGCAGTATTGACTTAAATGTTAACCTGTCTTTAGTTTATTGAAATGGAATGAGGCTTGATACACTAAAAATCTCCTTCGGTGGGGGGAATGGGGACTGTGGGAGAACTATCCTACTGGTTTACCTAATGATGGTAGTAACCAGGAACTTGCCTTGAATTGTCCAGAGGCTGATAATCTAAAAGAGATGTGCTTGCTATTCATGTTCTCTTAGTTAATGATATGATAACTAGTTAAAGCAAATGTCTAGATGATGGTATCCTCTGCTGACATCTGATTAAAACAAAACTCCGTTTTATGTTGTTTCAAAACGATAAGTTTGTCTTTATTGTCGCTCTGGAGCTAATTATATGCTTTTTCACTGCATGGAGCTATTTCACCAAGCTTTGACTTACCAAGATTGTTTTTTCCCCCACTTGGCAGCACTCCTGTATTCACTGGAGATGGAGAAGGAGGAAGTGGCTTTGTGGCAGCTGGTCCAGTAGCTGTTAGTGACTTCGATTTCGGCGTTGATCCTAACATCGATCCTGAGCTGGCACTTGCCCTTAGAGTATCCATGGAAGAGGAGAGGGCAAGGCAAGAAGCTGCTGCTAAAAGGGCTGCCGAGGAAGGTTCAAGCCAAAACAAAGGAGATGAACAATCATCCAAGTCGCAGGATACAACAATGGCTGACACCACTGGAGCAACGGCTGCGACTGATGCTGCTGAACCGATGGTTAGTTGGCTCTTCTAATTATCCCTGCATGTGCTACCTGTTGGCCGGTTTCTTGTCTGTTTTTGATCCACTGTGATAATATTAGCTTGACTTTGTCTTTGTGAATAATGTTGCAACAGAGTGAGGTGGATGCATTGCTACAGCAAGCCATTGCCTTGTCGATGCAAACTCCAGCATCAGATTCAGCTGTCCGTGACACTGATATGTCGGAGGCAAACAATGAGGACCAGGACTTGGCAGCTGGTGAGTTTTATTTTACTTTTTTCCAGTTTTAATCCATGAAATATAATGCTGATCTGTCTTTGTCCATGTAGAGTTCATTCCATGACCCTGATTCGTTCAATTTCTTACGTTGTTGCATGCAGCGCTTCAAATGTCCATGCAGGAAGGTGAAAAGGATTCAGCAGGTCAAATGGACATGAGTGAGGTGCTAGAGGATCAAGCCTTTGTGTCTTCTGTCCTCGCATCGGTATGTGTACACTAAATACTCATATGAATGAACTCCGCCCTTAATTTCTGGTATGCTGATATGATTCCGTTTGCAGCTTCCTGGTGTTGACCCCAATGACCCTTCCGTAAAAGATCTGCTTGCATCTTTGCATGGCAAGTCTGAGGTTTGTACATGTAACTTCTGCAGAATACGATTTACAACAAGCCTCATTGAATGCCTGTATAACCGTTTCTGACTAACTTTCCTGTTTTCTCCCTCATGAACAATGAATCAGTCTGCTGATCAGAAGAAGGATGAAGAAAAGGCACCGAAAGACGACGAGAAGTGAAGAAACATGTGCTCGATTAGTCTCTTTCATCTCCCCCTCAAATCAATGTCTTCAATCCTGGGGCATGGCAGCCATGTAAACTTATTTATGTGCCCTTTTCAAGCTGTATTCTATTCGATCACCGGATAGTAAATTTGGATTAGAAGTATTGGCTGGGACTCTTTTGTTTCCCTTTCCGATCTTAATCTGTTTGATTCACGTGGGAATGAAAAATGTGGATGAACACTGAACAAACCCTGTTTCAAACATGGTGCTTGCTTCCTCTGTCTATGCAGTCTTGCTTAAGGTACACTACATCGAATTCGGTTAATGTCACGTTCGCCTAACGAAGAACATAGAAAATGTTGGCTTAGTTTATCTTCAATCACAGCTAATCATCCTATTTGACAGTCTGATGTAGTGGATGATCCATTCTCAGACATTATCATACAACTGGTATTTTTACTTTCTGGCCATGTTGAGTGTCTTCTGGTGTTCACAGTTGCGACCAAAAGGGAGGGAGACAAGCTAGATCAATCCAAAAACGCAGCTTCCTTGTGTAAACAGATGGATGGAACCTCAAACTAACCCCAATACACCAAGTAAAGGAGTCCATAAAGGAAATCAATCATATATATATATATATATATATCCAACTGTGGCTATGATTGAACCATATGATAAAAGTCTACAAGAAGCTTCAGAATTTTGCCCAACTTGCAAAATTCCAAGCACTTGCTTCTCCATGTACAGTGAGAGCTGAAGAAGATCATAATGATGGTTTGCTCCACCAAACCCGATCGAGTACCTCCACTAAGAAGCTGCCATATATCAAGATAAGAATAACGAGGGGGAGGGTGTAACTTCTCTTATGCTTCTCACGGGCCGTCTCATAACATCAATTATTAACTGCAAACAATTTAATTAGAAGAATTCTATAGATGTGCACATTTCAAGTTCAGTGAGTTGAAATTAATTTCATGAAACGTGCTAGATTATCATCCCGAGAATGTGGCCTGATTGTGTGTTGTTTCATCTCGCCTCTCAATCACGTGGTCAGGATTGGAATCCATGTTCATGAAGACGAAACCCAGTATGTAATACTAGTTACATATTTATCGATTTTTACAACTACCTTAGATAAGAAGATTAGTCGCCACGAAGAATATTGTGATTTGCCAATCTGATTGATCCCAAATTTGCTGTATGACATTTTCATCAAATGTTGGATGTTGGCTCTTACCTTCCTTTAACTTGCATTCGACAAACTTGTGGGGATACTCCAACCTTCCCGATATCTCATTGATCCTATGAAGATACGTTCTTTTGTGGCAAATTTTAATTTTTGCACACTTTTGGGCTGTGCCTCGGTTTGTTCATTCCACAATGCATTAGCCAGAATACATGCATGATACCATGGGATTGGTTCTTCTCCCCTCTAGCAAGTACAAATTGAACTAGCTAGCCCACTTCATTCATGAATCATCTCTCTCAAACTTTGCTTTTGTTTAGGTTTTCGGGGATTGGGAAACAAGCGAGCGAAGGTTATGCCTGGAAATTCAGTGGTAGGACGTTTAGTACTAAACTTGTGGTTAAAGTTTATACCGCTAGAATTGCCTGCCAATCTTGGGTTCGGTATCTTGTATTCTCAATCCGACCAGGGCGGTACGTTGCAGTTTCTAAAACATTGAACATTTTTTTGGCAAAACATAAATGTGTCTGGTGGTATTTGACTAGCTATATGGTGATGAGTTCAAGTTCTTCGATATGATTAGCGGCTACCCTTTTTAAAAGCTCGCGAGCAAGTGTGCATTTTGGAAACGGATTGTGCATATATGATTGCATATTGTACTAAACTATTCATCTCCATGACGAGACAAGGTGCATGCAAAACACGAATGGAACATCTCAAATATGATATATTTCTAAACCAAAATCTTTAAACAGTGATAGATCGATAATTACTATAAAAATCAGACCAAAAAAAAAATTTAACAATTCCCTAATTTCGCTTACGTTGTTTTAGCCTACAGGCAGTTCTTCTCAACCTCCTTATATGTTGGTTTGTTAGTTTATCGTTCACACTCACTTCTTTCCCTCCCTTTGGTCGGATTCTCTATGGTCAAAATATTTCATGAATCCTTCACACAAATACTATCCAGACTTCGATCAACTTTACCTAAATATCTTATCATCAACAAGAACCCTCTCTATCAACAACATATTAAAACGTATACAGACAACACTTCAACGCTAACTCGTAACGACTCCCCATCGACAAGACAAACCCTTTACTTATATGTTGATTACAACACCTAACATTAGTTGAAATGCATTTACTTCTATCCATTACCGACACCAACCAGTGGCTCCCTCCAATGGCAACAGAGTTTCTCCTTTACTCGTTTCTTGCTCCTGCTGTCTTCTGCTGTACTGCTGCTTTGCTTGGACGCGAAGAGATCTGAATTATATTGTGGGGACCAAATTGGTAAAACAGGAAAAAAATGTGGGCTAGCTTTCCTATGTGATCAAATCCCGCAAGCAGTACCTCTTTTTTCCTTTTCTCACCATTTTACCATCTTTTTTTCTTCTTCTTTCCATTTATGAATACTTAGCACCGTTCAGAATGTACCTTGGTTGCAGCAATTCCTCACTCCCTAAAGAGCCGTCAACAGGAGACCTTGCTCCACTTTGTATGAACAAAAACCATGAAAGATGTGTCTCGTGTAACCCCTTTTACACTCTGGAATTTCATAACTTCAAGGTCAGATCTCGCCACCCAGTTGATAATTATTATTAGAACTGAAAAAGAATGTTTAACAAACTAGTTAGCCTGGATTAACCGATTTTATAGGCTTATCGGGTTCTCTTAACTGATCAAGTTCGATTAGCCCTTAACGGTTTCGATTTTAACCAGAACACCTAAAACCGTTAATAAAAGACTGATAAGTTTGTAACTTTGTATGCAATCAAAAATTCATTTTTGGTTTTCCCATCTAATCTGGCTGAAAACTTAAACCTGGTAAGGACTTACCATTTTCGGTTCCTCAACGATTTCGTTTTTGGGCAACTGGCTATTTTGGGTTTCGGATTCTAATAATTTTTTCGGTTAGGTTTAACCACCACTCCTAGTATGGACGCATGTTGTCCACGGCAATCAAAGACTAGAGAGTGCATCAGTCCTGTCGGAACCATATTATATTGGAGCACATCTTCATGTGAATCGGATAAAGCATGACTAGATATTATGCAATAGTGTTCTCGATTTCATGAGTTTTTCAAATATTAAAAGAAAAAAAAAAGACTGAACTGATTGCACTGTGAGCAAATTTCGATTCTCAAATATTATTTACTTTTGACCTGGTTCTATCATAGTTTGATCTATTTATCTACGTGACAGAACCGTTGCACAAGGAGAAAGTGACACATAAATGATATGTGTTGTATAGATAACACTGTTCTCCGAAATCACCCTTCAAATTTGAAAATTCATTTCAAAGAGCGTTGCAACCATCTTTACTACAACTTTTTTCTTCCAGTAAGCACTCACTGTGCTCAGGGATTACACTGTGAAAGTTTTGTTTTTCTCAAGCACAATTGCCAAGTGTCAAATCTAAGACTCAAAATGCTGGCCGAAGCATGCATTTCACTAGTATTAGACAAAATTCACACCATCCACGCTTCTAATTGTATCTTAAAAAAAAATGAATGTTTATTATTGGCAAGTGCATTAATTAACTAACCAAAACAAAACATTATCATTTTATCCAAACGCTTCCTCTGAATATATATAGAAGAAAGAATCCAGCTTAAGGCAAGTTCATTAACCACAAAATAAGATGTTTACTTTCTTGCCTAATTTAAAAAATTCAAAAGATAAAAAGACTTTTCCTTCTGATCTTTTGTAATGTAATATACTAATATTGGTACTCACACTTGTTTTCTAAGCATAAATTAACCATGAAATTCGAGTTGCGACCAACGGAAATTAATAACTTTTAAATGTAGTGTGCCAATATGACTTGTATAATGATAATAACATGACAACAAAACTTAGACCACATCGTTATATGAATCCTTTAAACTTCTACATATACCCTTGCATACCCGCTCTATACCCGGTCAAGAGAAACAAAAATTAATGCTAGCACTAAATTGTATCAGTCAAAGAAAATAAAGTACCAAATTGTAAATTGGATCAGATGCACGGGACGTGGAAAACCGTCAACTCTAGACGGCAATATCAATGAGTGCGGAGGCAGCTGACGAGGAGAGAGAAAGCAAATCGAAAGTGGCATAACTGTAATATACGGAACCATCAATGGTAAATTCGCAGCTGGATATATTTACTTATATAAACAGCGGCGAGTCAAGCAAAAAACCAACACTCGGTATCAAATCACCGGCTTCCGCCACTGAATTCAGTCTCCAATCTCCATTAGCTTCTTCCCTCTTTCTCGATCAACAATGGCGATGGCATTCCAGATGGTATAATCGAAATCATCCGGCACAACTTCTTCTTGCCGTTTCAATACCTTCCTCCAGTTTCGCGAATTCGTTTTGGATTTTGAATTTTTTTTTTCTTTTCCATCTGATTGTGGCAGGCGGCGAGCGGGATGTGGGTGAGCGACGAGTGCAGGAACTCGTTCATGGAGATGAAGTGGAAGAAGGTCCACCGCTACATCGTATTCAAGATCGACGAGAAGACAGGGCTAGTCGCCGTCGACAAGGTAGGCGGCGCCGGCGAGAGCTACGACGACCTCGCGGCGTCGCTACCGGAAGACGACTGCCGCTACGCCGTCTTCGATTTTGACTTCGTCACCGTCGACAACTGCCGCAAGAGCAAGATCTTCTTCATTGCCTGGTCCGCCCGTCTCCCCCTCCTCCGTTCACTTCCGTTAAATTGTTCTAAATAAATTCGCCTTTTTCTCAACAAAATTTATTCGAAGATTTGCTTTTTCTACCTTTTGGCTTACTTTACTCATTTGTTCGTTCCTTCATTATTGACACGTGGAAATCCATGATAGGTTGAGGAAAATGAAACGCATGGATTTAATTTATTTCCTTTTTTCTAATTAAATAAATTTTCATGGCGAATATTATTATTTTTTTAGAATTTTATTTATTTAGTTATGATAATCTCCGGTACAATTTTACAAATTACAATCGTTAGTAATTGAATATGGATTTTGATGTGAAATCGAATTATCTGTTGAACTTTCGTGCAAATCGATATTGTTTGAACTCTTTTCTAAAGAAATTGGATGTGATAACACTATTTGCAAATTGGAATCATAATTTGTGTTTATGGACAAAGTTTATGCCTTTTGGGATATCATGCCTAAGAATTATAATAAGTTGCACCAACCATTGTTATTTTAGGTGCAGAGTCATCGAGTCTTGGTCTACAGTTGTTGCACCAAATTGGGGGGAGAAAAGTTTGGTTTGTTGGGAAGCATAGTGTATTATAGAGAAACATTTACTTGGTTACAATTTATTCTACTTTATGTCAATACTTTATATGTAGAAAAGCAAATCATTGAAAAATTCTCTTGAATTCGATTTGTGATATCGATCATCAAAAACATTTTATATGGATCTTCAATTTGCAACGAATGTCTTAAACTAGCTGATGCTCGAATGAATTTGCCATATGTTTTGCGAGTCCAAAATTTGTTTTGAACCTAACCGATTCTTCATGTTGTTTGGTTCAGGGCACCTGCGGCGTCGAGGATCAAAGCAAAGATGTTATACGCAACATCAAAGATCGGAGTGAAGGGAGCATTGGATGGGATCCATTATGAGCTTCAGGCGACCGATCCAACCGAGATGGGGTTTGATGTGATCAAGAGTCAAGCCAAATAAATTAATTAAGGGGTGTGTGGGAACTAATCAACTTAAAGAGTATTAATATATAATCGGTTCATTAGAGAATCATTGAGGGAGTTGTTGGACTTCCCATGGTTACTAATGAATTGATGATTATAGGATTAATCATACTTTCTCTTGTTGTTAATAACTCCCCTAAGTTCCTTTACTCATGTAACCAGCTAATTTGGTGAGAGTTAGGGAACCCAGCCTTTTGGGTTTCTACCTCATTCTCTCCCCCCTTGTGCTCTTTTTGACTAGTTAATCTCATCTTATATAGGATGCACTAGACAAAATAATAGTGCATCTTGCTTAAATTGATGCGAGAATTTCTCAGTTATTAATTTTTCGATTTTCACAACGAAGAAAATACCGATATCACAACATCAATCGTCTTTAGATAATACTAAAAGATGGATGCAATTGCACAACGACATATTATGAGGCAAGAAGACCATTATATTAACAAAATTTTAGGTGTCCTTTCACATATCTAGTCACAAAAAGACATGAAGGAAGAGTGATTATATGGTTGGTGGGGGTAGAGATTTGATTAAAAGGGAAATGATTGTCCATGGAAAATTATATATATAGGGAAAAGGAATATGGGCCACAATGATAGATATTGTAACCACTGCAACCCAAGTCAAAGAGAATCAAATCATCTTTATCATTTTTGGCACCAAATTGTTGGATCATGTATAATAATAATTTTGGTCATCTTTTCCCTCTACTCTCCATAGTGATTCTTACCATCTTTCTTTAGTGGTCATTCCTATCCATACATATGATTGGATCCTCTGTATTAATTTCCTAACCCTAGACCAGTGTTGTCAACAAACCGAATCGATAAAATGTTCAAGATTCGTCGATTCATCGACGGTATGAAATAGTTCAGAACTGCTAACCACAGCAATTGTAAACAAATTGAACTTACTAAATCCATCCAGGGAAGCAAGGACGATTTCTGCAGGCAACAGGCTGCAAAACTTCTCCACTGCTTTAGAGTTCACAGTAGGACTTGTACAGAAGAAAGAAACTTTTGACTACCCCAGATAGGATCCCAAGAGCCACTTTTTCAGAACTTCTCGTCAACCTCTTAACCCTGCAAATGCCACAAGACATATTGTCAGTTGTACTCGATTTGCCTTGCTATGATCTGCTGCAAACATTGGAGAGAAAACTAAATCGTCACAGGAAAGGAGTCATACAATGTCAAACTTGATTCCAAGAGTTCACATTAAGCGGGGAAAAGCAGTCCACCCATCTAAATATAGAAAACTTGGAATCCACGATTACCCATTTCAACTTCACCATTTAAGTTCAAACTTTGTCCCTCACAAAGTCTAACGAACCAGTTAAAAGTGTCAGACTTAAAACCTCCCCCAATGAATTATCTATCAGCCATCCGTTAAGTAAACCAGCAAAGTGAAATGAAACAAATGTTAATGATAAACCAAAGCAGATAGCTTGAAAAAGAACTTAAATCATTCTCAATTTCACACCTTCTGCTCCTTCTCAGAGTAGCTGGACTGGCATCCACACTGTCACCTTTCTTCAACCTCTTCTTCAAGAAATCATTACCCCATTTCAATCTATCCGAGGTCACATTCCACACCACAGAATCCCCTTGATCTGATGCCTTGATCCCGCCCCAATCATCCTCTAACAAGCAAGCTGCTAAGTCCTCCACATTGGAAGCCAGAACGGTCCAATAAGCCGCATAGTTCTCCTTCATCAACTCCTTCTTCCCTTCTTTCCCAAACTCATCCGGCGTAGTCTCCCCGCCACATTTCATCAATGTCGTTCTCCCTCACTTCTTGAACCGAAAAACGCGTTATAACTCTTCAACACCCTAGTCAATTCCCTCAACAAACCCCCCTGTCCTTTCGATACAAATGTCACCCCGTAGTTCAAGACCTGGAATTGATTCCCACTACCTCTTGATTCATCCTTTTCGTCGCTGAATTCTTGACTTTGCGAAGGAACCCTAAGCAAGAAGAAAGTACTGGGTCTGGCCAAGATTCACTGCAGCCTCATCTTTTGTTGTCATGCTGGATTATGAACCCTTAATATTATGTTCAAAGAAAAAGTATTAACGCTCTTTCCACGCTACCAATATCTCGATGGATAATAGACATTCTTACGCTCCCACTTTCGCTCTCGCTCTTCTTCCCGTTCTTGCTCTAGCTCGCGCTCCACGAACTGGCTACCTGAGCTGGAAGTAGAGCCATCAGCAGCTCCTGTGAACCCCACAACGAACCGAGAAGCTAGTTCCTTGCCGTATCGAGCAGCCAGCTTCACCAATAACTTCAAGCTCATCCTTATCCCCATGTCTACGACCCGCAGCCCATCCAGCTCCTCGAGTCCCTTAACCTTGGTCAATCTTTTGCATCCGTCAATATCCAACTCCCTCAATTTCTTGAGACCAGAGACATTTCCCAACTCCTCTATTGACATGCAATCATACAGTATCAGCCTTGTTAACGATTCCAAACCCTCGATTCCTCTGACCTCAGTCAACCTTGTGCAGTAGCTAAGGTTCAATTCTTCCAAATTCTTGAGGCCAGATAAGTCTGGCAGCTCCGTAATCGACCAGCAATCACGAACTCGTAGCTGGCGCAATGACTCCAATCTGCCAATCCCTGTGGGGAGATTCGTCAAGCTTTGACAATCTGTCAGGTCTAATGTGTTGAGATTCCTGAGGTTAGACAGATCCGGCAGCTGTCGAATTGAACTGCAACTCCTCATGGTCAGGGACTCCAGCGATACCAATCTCTCCAGCCCTGTCACCTCAGTCCAGTACGGACAGTACAAAATGCTCAACCGTTTCAGATTGATGAGACCAGACAGGTCAAGAGATGGTTTTTCACCAAACGATTGCTCCTCAAGAGTCAGATCATCCAATCCTCCCAGAAGTTGAAGTATTCCCTGCAAGTCTGCCAAGCTGGGACAATCCTTAATTGTCAGACGAGATAAAGACTTCCCGAGGTCACCCAGGCATTTGATTTCTACGAGAACCGGGCACTGGTAAACCTCCAAATCCTTCAACTTCATCAAATTTGCTAGACTCGGCAGCCTCTCCAGTGCAGCACAGCTCCCCACAGACAGGGTTGTGAGGAGGAGCAGATTCTCAAGTCCGTTGAGATTGTTCAGATTCGGGGAATCGGATATCTCCATGGACTCCAATGCCCTCAGCTCCCCGATGCCACGAATCTCGACCACCCCGATATGCATGAGCGTGAGTTGGGTCAGGTTGCGCAGATTCGCTAAGCTGGGGAGTTCACTCAAGGGCCCGGAATACTTCTCATGAATCAGTTTAGATTCTTCAAAGCTGAGCACAAACTGCAAGCGGCTAGGGATCGAAGGAATACTGCCGTTGAGGTAGCTTAGGGACTCCAATGCCATCAGCTCCAGCAAATTTGGGACCCCGTTGGAAGATGCAATGGCTAACCTCTTTAAGCTCCTCGGGAGTCTGGGTATTTCTAATTGGTACCCCTGGTGTCGTGATTCGAGCAGCAGGCTCTGGAGAGAGGATAACTTGTCCATCCCGGCGGGCAATTCTGTCATAGGAGTAAACCTCAAGTCCATCTCCTCCAGTCGTTGAAGCCTTCCAATGTCATTACCCGTGATGATTAAGCCTGTTATCTTGGTCCAAGGGAGCCTCAGCGTGTTCAGATTCTTGAAATTGGCAATGTGCAATTGTCCTTCCATCCTACCACATTCCTCAAAGTTTATCAACTCCATACCTGCGCAGGTGGACAGGTCAGGAGCCCTTCTCAGCTCGACGCACCTGGTTAAATTTACAGCTTTCAGCTTTGCTGCGGCCTGTGCATTATGATACAACCATTACAATCAGACGGGACTGACCATATATGTAATATAATGATCTACGAATGGAAAAGGCCAAAGAGGAAACATATTTTACCTTTATTCGATCCCAGCCCCACCAGTCATCTTTTACATCGCACTGCTCCAAATCAAGAACGGTCAATTTCGTTGTGTAAATATCAGTTGGGATTGATTTACAATGTGGCAGTCGAAGGCAACGTAGATTTGGAAGAACCTGGCTGAAATCCCCCATCAAGTTTCCATATCGCACCTCCAGATACCTTAAACCTGATAAGTTCTTAAATTGCTTGCTCTTAAGCAGCTTTTCATGAGCATCTCTAGAATTCAAATTCACCCTAAGAGCTTCCACCCGTTCACTTCCCTAAAAACAATAGATGAAAAGAAAGAAACTACACATAAACATATATAGTTGTTGACAACTTTTTATCATTAAAATACAACCCAAAGATTATCAAGTTGTTGACAAAAGTATTTACCTTTCCATTTCTAAACAAGTCGAGAGCATCATCAGTAGACCATATCCTGCTACGGTTGTATGGATGTTGAATATCTTCCTCTTTAACAATGGCCCTTCCAAGATCTTTGATGTGATCGTGCATCCAAAAATGATTTCCCACGTCCAGTTTTATCAAGGATCTCTGAATAAGAGTGTCGATCCCACTTTCTGGATAAAAATCGCAACCACTCCACATGTAGTAAGGTAAATTTTGGTGACTACCGATAAAAAAACATGCAATATCAAGGAAGATTTCCTTTTCATTGCGCGTCAACTCGTTGTAGCTAATCTTCAATCTCTCTTGCACCTTATTCTCGGTAGTAGAAGGTATCCCTTGTAACTCCCTCAACTTTTCTTCCCAGAATTTCCTTCCTCTACGAAACAGAAGTGACCCTATCACCTCGAGAGCTAATGGAAGTCCAGCAGCGACTTTTACGAATTCCTCAGATATAGAGGCATCTTCCTTTGGAGGAATGTCCATCCCAAAAGCATGTTTGCTAAAAAGTTGCAGAGAAAGAGGACGACTCATTTCTCCTGGTTCATACAATTTACATTCTTGAAAATAATCTAAAGTTCTTTTATATCTTGTTGTAAACATAAACCTACTATCTAAAGAAAAATCACTCAAGTTCCCTAGTATCTTATCAAATTTAAACTTGTCGTCTATGTCATCAATAACAACAAGCACCTTGTGTTTGCAAACTCTCTCCTTTATCATATTGATTCCTTCACTGACATTGTTAACTTGATAACTACCCTTCCTCAAAATGCTAGAGATAAGCTTATTTTGCAAAGACAAAGCCCCTTCACTCTTTGTCAATGTTTCCCGTACATCTTCCAAGAAACAACAACGATCAAATTGAGTGAAAATCTTGTTATAGACAGCCTTGGCTATAGTGGTTTTACCTAAACCACCCATGCCGTGAATGCCAACGACTTTCACTTCAGAGGAGGCTAAATTCAGTAATGTCATCACTCCTTCCACGTGACTATCGATTCCCACCAACTCATCAGTTACTAATGTGTAAATGCTCCTCAAATGAAACTCGACTTCAGAAAGGATTTGCTCTATTATGCCTCCCTGACTGCAGCACCAATGGAAATATTCAAGATACACTACTGAGCAAGCAATTATTGTGAAGAGCAACAACATATTACTAGAGCTACATGTATATATCCCTCGTGCATTACAAGCCTATGGGGGCAAGAGTAGCAATTACATTATAATTGCAGAAACCCTTTCATTTGGGGAACCTAAACCCACTGGATGATTCAGAGAAATAACAAAATATAATCTAACTTATTGAGCAGTGCATTATATCCAAGATTAATAAGCAACCAACATCATCAAATTTAGGGGTGTGGAGGTGGATGTTACCTGTCGGATTCAGTGACGTGCCATCCTTTCATCTGCCCAACCTCCTGAAGGGCTTCTCTCCATTCCTTGACAGTTTCAGGGCTATGTTTTTGTGCATGTTGTTCAAAGGCCTGCTGGTAAGGACCCTGTTGATGCCTCACATCTCTAGGGTCAACGAAGTAGAAAACGGGGAGGATGAGGTGTCCCTTGTTTCCCTTCCAGCACTCCACCATTTGAGCCAATTCTTGAAGGCACCATTTGCTGGAAGCGTACCGTTGGGTTAGAACAGGGATGTAGATCTTGGATTCGGGGATGGCCCGGACTAGGGAAGGCGCAATCCCTTCCCCCTTGCGCAGCTCTTCCTCGTCCCTGAACGTGCGGATTTTGGCACGCGATAGCGAGGTGTAGAGATGATCGGCGAAGGTATTGCGGACGTCGGGGCCCCTGAAGCTCAGGAAAACCTCGTACTCCCCAGCTGGAAAAGGAGACGGCGACGCCGATGAAGAAGTGAGGACGGATTTCATTTCCTCGCTGCTCAAAATCGACCGATGATTCAATGTTAAGTCTTCGCGGGAAGGGTATACGCAAGTGTCAAAAGGATGAAAGGCTGCTGCAACAACGAACTAAGAGAGCTGAATCTTTCGGGGTTCGCTCGAGGAAGATGGTGCAGGATTTGGTTCATGATTTCAGCAAGCTAGCTAGTGTTTCTTTTTTGAAGAGTAATGGCTGCTTGGAATTTGGGATGAGACCAAGTTGGAAGGAAGAAGGAAAGGGGAAAGAAGTTGCAGCGAACAACTTTGACTAGTTGCTGGGAATCGGTGTGCAAGTTTCTCCGGTTTTCCTATTACGGTGACGGTTTAGGTGTTCTTTTTCAAATGGGCCTTCTGCTCTCGAGCCCAATCAGTAATCCAATAAATAGGTCAATGGTTGATGCATGTGATCCGGTCAAACTAAAGTAACCACGCCTCTGGTTAATGATTGGTCAAACTAATCTAATTTCGGCTGATGGCGCAAATTGCTGGGATGTGGGCCGGCCTTCTGGGCCAGGGAAGGTTTTCGGTTGGCATCTCTCTCTGTGCAGGGGCAGCAGCAGATCACCGCCTGTCCGGACGAATACGATGAAGGTTTTTGGTGGGCCGGCCAATGGGCCCAGTTCTCAATGTGAAAAAGTGGGTAAAGAGATAGTTTTGATGACTCACTTTTTTCTGGCAGTACCCGCTTACATCTGGCAAGATATCAACCGTTGGATGGATGGATGGATGGCCCAGGGAAGTTGAGTAAAGGCTTTCTCTCTCCCCATCCCTCCAGGTTTGGTTCTTCTCTCTCCGCTTTCTCTTTTAACTTTGCCTGCAACTGCATGTTAGAATTGTTGACCCGGCCGGCCCACCCTCCTGATTTTAGGTGGTACGCTACTTGTTTGATTGGAACTAATTGTTTATCCACCCAAATCAAAATCGTTAGGAACTTATCGATTTTTGGTTTAATCAAATCAAACCAAATCGATAGTACCGATCACGTTAATTAATTTGTATTGTTGACTCACATGCTACTCTCAACCTATTTAGACAAGGTAGGTGGATTGCCCGATGTGTTATTTAATTATGCGAATTTATTGAAAATTTAGTTTCTAATTGACAAGTTAGGCATATCAAGGACACGAATTAACACGTAGACCAACCTGTATATTTCGAAGAGAGTGTAAAGCATTACCATTTTTTGGTTTAACAATCGAGTGAAGTAAAATTAACCTTCCATGGCTGGTGAATAACCGTGGAAAATGGACATTAGTGGAGCTGATTAGCCATTGCGAGCCGTTGGGTCAGCGAGTCGCAATAATTTAACCGCATGGTCCAAACTGACCGGTCCCACACCCAACACTCAACCGTTCTCATAAAAGAAAACCATTAGATTAAACCGAAGATTAGTTGAAAAGCGCAAACAAATTTGAAATTTTTAAAAAATAATTAACCTAACAACTACAGACAATAATCCTCTCCCCCTTCTCCTTCCCCTCTTATATCCATCAATGTCGGCCACCAAATTCACACACTCTTCACTCTCTCTTCTCCACTTCACTTCCCCCACTCTGCTCTCTCCCATCCATCAATGGCGTCTCTACTTCCCCACCTCCTCCTCCTCCTCGTTTTCTCCTTCCAGTCCTTCTCCTCTTCCCCGGCGGCAGCCGCCACCACCGCCACCGACAAGAAGACCTTCATTTTCCGGGTCGATTCCCAATCCAAGCCCTCCATCTTCCCCACTCACTACCACTGGTACTCCGCCGAGTTCGCCGACGCCCCGCAGATCCTCCACGTCTACGACACCGTCTTCCACGGCTTCTCCGCCGTGCTGGCACCCGACTACGCCGCTTCCCTCGGCCGGCACCCCGCTGTCCTCGCCGTGTTCGACGACCGCCGCCGGGAGCTTCACACCACCAGATCCCCTCAGTTCCTCGGCCTCCGAAACCAGCGCGGGCTCTGGTCCGAGTCCGACTACGGCTCCGACGTCATCATCGGCGTCTTCGACACCGGCGTCTGGCCCGAGCGCCGGAGCTTCTCCGACGCGAATCTCGGCCCCGTTCCGTCCCGGTGGAAGGGGATCTGTCAAATCGGTGTGAGATTCACCGCTAGAAACTGTAACAAGAAGTTAATCGGAGCGAGGTTTTTCGTAAAAGGCCACGAGGCTGCCGGTGGAGGCCCAATGGGCCCAATCGGCGGGATAAACGAGACGGTGGAGTTCCGCTCCCCGAGAGACGCCGACGGTCACGGGACCCACACAGCCTCCACGGCGGCAGGGAGGCACTCGTTTAAAGCGAGCATGGAAGGCTACGCGCTGGGAGTTGCAAAAGGGGTAGCGCCGAAAGCGCGTCTGGCGGTTTACAAGGTGTGTTGGAAGGACGCGGGTTGTTTGGATTCCGATATTCTCGCCGCGTTTGACGCGGCTGTTAACGACGGCGTCGACGTCATCTCGATTTCGATCGGCGGCGGCGACGGGATCTCGTCTCCGTACTACCTCGACCCCATCGCCATCGGCTCATACGGCGCCGTATCGAGGGGAGTCGTCGTTTCCTCCTCCGCAGGAAACGACGGGCCGAATTCGATGTCGGTTACCAATCTCGCTCCCTGGCTCGTCACCGTCGGTGCTAGCACGATTGACAGAAACTTCCCCGCCGATGTGGTGCTTGGAGACGGGAGGAAGCTCTCCGGCGTCTCGCTCTACTCCGGAGCATCTCTGAACGGGAAGATGTTCCCCGTCGTTTACCCTGGAAACACCGGCGTGCTCGCCGCCTCGCTCTGTATGGAGAATTCGCTAGATCCGGCAGCCGTCCGGGGCAAAATCGTGGTGTGCGACAGGGGAAGCAGTCCGCGAGTTGCGAAGGGGATGGTGGTGAAAAAGGCCGGCGGCGTCGGGATGATTCTCGCCAACGGAGCTTCCAACGGGGAAGGTCTGGTCGGCGACGCGCATCTCGTCCCCGCCGCCGCTGTCGGCTCCGACGAAGGCGACGCGGTGAAGAAGTACATCTCCTCCACGCGAAACCCCACCGCCACGCTGAATTTCCGCGGGACGATCATCGGAATCAAACCGGCACCCGTCGTGGCTTCGTTCTCCGGCAGGGGACCCAACGGTATGAGCCCTGAAATTCTCAAACCCGATTTGATTGCTCCAGGGGTTAACATCCTCGCCGCCTGGACCGACGCAATCGGGCCGACGGGGCTCGAATTGGACACCCGGAAAACCGAATTCAACATCCTCTCCGGCACATCGATGGCCTGCCCTCACGTCAGCGGCGCAGCCGCCTTACTGAAATCGGCTCACCCGGATTGGTCCCCTGCAGCAATCCGCTCGGCGATGATGACCACGGCGAACCGGGTCAACAACATGAACCAACCCATGACCGACGAAGCCACCGGAAAACCATCCACCGCTTACGATTTCGGAGCAGGGCATGTGAATCTTGACCGAGCAATGGACCCGGGTCTGGTCTACGACATTACCAACGAAGACTATGTGAACTATCTTTGTGGAATTGGGTACAGTCCTAAAGCAATTCAGGTGATCACTCGAGTCCCCGTGAAATGTCCGGCGAAGAAGCCCATGCCGGAGAATCTGAACTACCCTTCACTGGTGGCCATTTTCCCCAGCTCGTCGAAAGGGCCGACGAGCAAGGCGTTCATCAGGACCGTGACGAATGTGGGCGAATGGAATGCGGTTTACCGGGTTACCGTCCAGCCTCCGAAAGGGGTGATCGTTAATGTGAAGCCGAGGACACTGTCGTTCACCGGCGCAGTGAAGAAGCGGAGCTTCATCGTGACGGTGACAGTGGATTCACATCATTTGGTGTTGGATGATACCGGTGCTGCGTTTGGGTCGATTTCGTGGTCTGATGGGAAGCAGCATGTGGTCAGGAGTCCCATTGTTGTGACTCAATTAGACCCACTGTGATGATGAGGGGGAAGCTTCTTTGCTTAAATTTGGTTATGAAGACTCGATCAAATTGTCCTTTTTGATCGAGGTGGTAGCCATTAGCATGTTAATTATATAGTTTGGATGGAGGTGATGAAGGAGAAGAAGAAGCTTGGTTAATGTGTTTTGTTTATCTTTACCTCTAGTGTAGTAGTTGACGAAGGGTCATGTTTTGACCTTTTGTTTTTAGTTTTATGCATGTAATGTTTGTAATGTATGTATGAACTTTTGACAAAGTTTATATATAAGCACTATAGCAGTGAAGTGATATCCCTAATCAGCGGTCTGATCAGAAACATCTCTGATCCGATGATATTTTTAGAGGTATGAAATGGTTAAACTACGGTTAAATTATGGTTCTGCATGCATGAAACAGCTTATCACTAATTTTTCCAACACAATCTCCATTACGAACTTACAATCATCGAATGGAGGTATGATTAAACTATTGTCAAAACTACATGACTCATAATTTGAGTATGTAGTGCCAGGTGTGATTAACTAACCAAGAAACACGAATGTTAATTCGAAAGTCGAAGCATATGAAATAGAAGCTTGTGCCTTGCATTGCATGCAATCTATCACGGGTAAATCTAAGAATAGGGAGAGTGGATTGCGCCTAGGATGGGGGGCTTTGAGGAACATACCCAATAGTCAAATGTAGCAAGTTACTTTGGGATCCTACGATGAAATTGATTAAGATTTTGGTGTTGACAACCTTTACCTTTTGTTCCCCTACGAAAACCTATGGCTAGCTACCAAAATCATTGAGAATGGTAAAAAGGGGAGGGTGAATGGATGTGATGGGTAAAAGGTAAAAAGTAAAATTCCATAATTGCATATCATCGTGTTTTACCCACAACACAAATCTGGGAATTGAGACAGGAATTGCAATAATGCAATTGAATGAAGATGACCCACAGCAATGGTGATGCAGGGGAATCTACAGTCTATTGTTAATCACATCATATCCAACAAAGTCTTTGGCTTTTGGATGCATGCCTACTTTAAAGACAGCTGATTGAATTAAAACAATGGGACAAAAACTAAAGGGAAAGGCTGAAAAGGACTTGGAATGAAGATCTACCCTTTATCTCTTTTGGAATTGTTTTGTCGCCTTTGATCTGTCAAACGACCTAAGGGCTAAGGCTAAACTAATTGAATAAGATAGAAATCTGATCAAAAGAAGAAGAAGAAGAAGAAGAAGAAGGGAGGGAAAAGGAAGCAAACCCAGATAAAGAAATCACCCCCATAATTGATAAAGGATCCAATTCCCCCTTTTTTTAGTATTATGATGAGAATGATGATGATGATGATTCAAAGGAGCCCGGTGAATGATGAAATGGAAATCATGATGATGGTGTTCCTGGGTTAATGTCACATGACCAAAGCTGAAAACTTTAGGTAGAGCCCACAACCATGATTAAGATAGGAGACACGATGATCTGGCTATTTAGCCAAGAAAAAGTACAGGGAAAAAAAGAAAATAATGGATGTGCTCTGTTTTCCGGTTTTCTGGGTTGATAGGAATGGCTAGAGCAATTGCAGCCACAGCCGGGTTTGATGCCAAAACGAAATAAAAGCTGTTGCTTTCAAGTTTCGAGTTAGTCTTCAACTTCCTTTCCTCCACACTGTGTTTCTTCTGTGGAAATTTTCTTGGAATAAATGATTTGCCATGCTGCTGCTACTTGGAAATTCCTCTGTTCTTTACTACAGAGTACAGGGCACATGTTCTTTTTGTTCTGCTTGAGCTTTATCCATGTGGAATCACTGACCCTTTGTGCCTGTTGCTTGAAGATTAAGCTTGTGTCCTGGTCAGAATATATGGCACATACACAGTTTCAGTTTTATAAGTGGTGTAGATTGGTTTGGCATATATCTATCTCATTCCCCTGTGTGGCAGGAGGGAATAGTATCTTGGAATTGTCCCTTCCATTCCTATCATCCATCAACATTGTTAGAAATGCAAGTAATATGGTGCTTGTTCAGCTGTTCTTATCTCAAATAGCAGCATCAGGAGTTAATTTTTGAATTTGCAGTTTAAGTAGATTTATTTTCTTGTCTGTATTACGATGTTCACCATGTTCGTTTCTAAACTATTCGACTATCGAAATGAGTCTTTTATTTCGATTACATGACTTCTATGGGAAAACAATCTACTTTTTTTTCCCCCTTGACATTTCAAAGACTTTGGTTAGTCATCGACTTGTGCCCCTTTGGAAATTGAAATACCCTGTAGCAAGGCATCCTTTAAGAAGCACAAAGTAGCACTGCATTATTGTATGCCCCAACAAATATTAAAGTTAAGATTTGTCATTTCACACCAATGAATGTGTAAGTCATTGTCCATTGGGATATGGGAACCCACCAAACAAAATCCTAACTTTTCAGAGAATTTCACACCTTGAACTCGAACCCTTTTCTGATTGGGTTCAAGCTGCAACTATTGGACTATCCCCAATTAACCAACATCTCAACCACAATCATAATGCATCATACCATTAACAAAACTACTCCCGGGATCCTTACTCAAACCTTTGTTCTCTATCCTCAATCTCAATGCTTCAGCATCTTCAAACCTTCCAACTGATGCATATAAATTCGACAAGAGCACAACCTCACCTGACTCCTCGTACTCCTGCTCAAATAATCTCCTTCCAGCATGCTCAGCAACCTGCAAATCACCATGAACAGCACATCCACCGAGCAAAGCCTTCCAAGCATTCAGGCTCATTTTCTCAGGGAACTTCTTAGCAAACCCACTTGCATCATCGACAAATCCTGATCGTGCTAGCAAGTCGATAACACAACCAAAATGCTCTTCTCTCGGCTTCACTTTACCATCTTCCACCATCCGATTGAATATCATCACACCTTTATCTACTAACCCTGCATGACTGCAAGCAGTAAGTACAGCTGAATAAGTCGCACTATCAGGTTCTTCATTGCCGTCTTTCAGCATTTCATGATAAAGGGCAACAGCATGTTCTCCTTGGCTGTTGATACCATAACCAGATATAATCATATTCCAAGAGGCCACATTGCAAAAAGGACCCATATCCTTGAATACAATATGCGCAAGTTGGACATTTCCACACTTGGAATAAGCTGATATAAGGCTGTTTGAAGTTGGTACATGATGTGCATATCCCATCTTGAACGCATAGCAATGAAGCTGCTGGCAGAACTCAAAAGCAGCGATTTCACCACAAGCAATTATAGCACTGAGAATTGTCACTGAATCAAGGCAACAACTGTAGTCCCATCTTGCCTTGCTCATGAGATCCAAAGCTGCTCTTGCATGGCCATTATTTGTTAGTCCTGAGATCATGGCAGTCCAAGTGACCGGACTCTTTTCAGTAGTTCCATCAAAAAGAGTACTTGATGAGTCCAAATCGCCACACTTCAGGTACATCTTGATGAGGGAATTTACAACAGGAAGCTTTGTTAGCAGTCCAAGGAATACAGCTTGAGCATGGACTTGTCTTCCCATATTCAAGTTTCCTAAAGCTGAAGAAGCCAAAATAAGATGCATGATTACTACTGCATCAACATAAAACCCATTGCCCTTCATTTCAAAGTAGAGCCTAATAGCCCCAAGGGCATCTTCAATGCCAACCAATAATCCCATCATGGTTGTCCAACTGATAATGTCTTTACATTCTATCTCCTGGAAAACTTTCCCGGTTGCAGAAATGTCCAGGAAACTTGAGTACATGCCAATAACTGCATTGTTAACAGAAACATCCAATCCAAAGCCTAGCTTAATAATTAAACAATGAATTGATTCAGAAAGAATCCTAATCCCTAAGCCAATACAGCCTCTAATAAGGGTCAACATCGTAGACGAATTAGGAGTTAAACCAGCCTTCCTCAACTTTCCGAAAAGCACAAAACTTTCCCTGCATAGCCCATTGGCAATAAATCCCGCTACAATGGCATTGCACGAGACCAAATGCAAGTCCTTCAGCTCCTCAAACACTTTATAAGAATCGAACACGTTTCCACATTTGGCATACATGTCCAACACTGCGGTTGCAACGATCGACTCCGACTGCAACCCACTTTTGACGGCAAGTCCATGCACAGACCTGCCGAGGACCAAGTCAGACAAACCGCCGGTACTAATGAGGACTCCAACCACAGTGAAGGAATTGGGGACCAAACCGGAGTGACGCATCTGGGTGAACGCATTGATCGACTTCACGTGATGCCCATTGATGGCGTAGCCGTGAATAGCAATGGACCACGAGACTACGTTTCTGTCAGACATTTTATCGAACAGCTTCTCTGCATCCGAAACCCTTCCCGATTTGAAGTACGCACTCAAGAGATTGGTGGAATTGTGCGGTTCAAGGCGGGAAGCGTGACTCCGGGATGAAGTACAGACGTAGCGGAGACGCAAAAGCGCAGACGGTTTGCTCTGAGCCAGGCATGGATTCATGAGAGGAAATCTGGAGCATGGTCTTCGGGGTGATTTCAGTTTGAAATTTAGCGCCCTCTAGATCCGCCTACCCGCCATAATTCAATCAGTAATGTACAGACTTTTGGGCCTTAACCTTGTGCCTAGCCCATAATAAATGAGCAAAGACATATGGGCCGTAAGTGGATTATGGGTAAGCCCAAACTGTGTGGCCTTACTGGATCTAGGGATACTTGGGCTGCCGCTCGGTGCGTGTTCTTATAAGTTTTAAAACGCTGACCGACAAGAGCAGCGGTTAATACGCGGGAGAATCAGAGACAGCCACGTGTCTTTTCTTCTCCTTTCCCACGGAAACCCGACACGTGTCCTACTCCCCATTTTTCTTGGACTGTAAGAGTTTCCCCTATCCCTCTCTTCCTTCTCTCCATAAAAGCCAACCATTCGATCAATTGGATTCCAAAAGATCGAAAGCTTTCCTGCAGAAAAATGGAGTCTTCCAGGCAAAAACCCCTCTACCCAGAAGTAATCCTCTCCAACCCAGAAAGGCCCGTTTCCACTACTGCTTCCTCTTCTTCAGCCCCATCTCTTTACCCGACGATCGACATGTCGGATCTCGCAGAGAATCTCTTCCCGGAGAACGATACCGCCATGGCGGAGACGGCCCCACAGGAGGAGCTTCTGATCAGAATCCCGGGCGCCATAGTCCACTTGATCGAGAAGGATCACAGCGTGGAGCTCGCCTCCGGGGATCTGGACATAGTTACACTCAAGCAGGGGGAAACCGTCGTTGCGGCATTTTGTCGAATAGGTGGCGACATCCAGTGGCCGCTGGCGAAAGACGAGGCCGCAGTGAAGCTCGACCAGTCCCACTACTTCTTCTCGCTTAGGGTTCCTTCGGGGGGTCAGGAATTCAGCGACGAGGAGGACGAATCGAGAGGGAGTGGGAGTCAATTGGAGGTCTTGAACTACGGGGTGACGTTTGCGTCGAAAGGGCAGGAGGGTTCGTTGAGGGAATTGGATAGGGTGTTGGAGAGTTACAGCGCGTTTTCGGTTCAGGAAGTGAGGGAGAAAGGGATCGACGGGAATGTGGCGAGGGAGACTACGCCGGAGGAGTTTGGGAAAGAAGGGAAGAAGAAGGAGTTGATGAAGGAGAACTCTGCGACTTATTGGACCGTTCTGGCGCCGAATGTGGAGGATTACAGCACCTCAATTGCTAGGATGATTGCGGCGGGATCGGGGCATGTGATCAAGGGGATTCTGTGGTGTGGCGATGTGACTACGGATAGATTGAAATGGGGGAATGATTTCTTGAAGAAGAGGTTGAAGAAAGGTGACAGTGTGGATGTCAGTCCAGCAGCTCTGAGAAGGATCAAAAGGTGAGAAATTGAGAATGATTTTAGTTCTTTTTCAAGTTATCTGCTTTGGTTCGTCATTAGCATTTTGCTTCATTTCACTTTGCTGGTTTACTTCACGGATGGCTGATAGATAATCATTGGGGGAAGTCTCAAGTCTGAGACTTTCAACTGGTTCGTTGAACTTAAACGGTGAAGTTGAAATGGGTAATCGTGGATTCCAAGTTTTCTATATTTAGATGAGTGGACTGCTTTTTTCCCGCTTAGTGTGAACTCCTAAGAATCAAGTTTGACAATTGTATGACTCAGTTTCCTGTGATGATTTAGTTTTCTCTTCATGTTTGTAGCAGGTCAATGCAACACAAATCAAGTGTAACTGACAGTATGTTTTGTGGCATTTGCAGGGTTAAGATGTTGACGAAAAGTTCAGAAAAAGTGGCTCTTGGGATCCTGTCTGGGGTAGTCAAAGTTTCTGGCTTCTTTACAAGTCCTATTGTGAACTCTAAAGCAGGGAAGAAGTTTTTCAGCCTGTTGCCTGGAGAAATCGTCCTTGCTTCCCTGGATGGATTTAGTAAGTGCAATTTATTTAAGTCGCTTGAATCATTGCTAGGTGTAGCAGTTCATAATGGGATGCGTATAGGCATTTTAACTATTGGATCACTATGAATGCAACGGCTGCCGACTATTGAACTTGTAACTGTTATTCACTTATTCCCATTTACTAGAATGAATGAACTGTTTACAAATGGAGCATTGTATTTTCTGCATGGTCCTCCATGGCTCCATCTAACCAATTTCTGCCTGTCCCGTGTGATTGTGCAGACAAGATTTGTGATGCTGTTGAAGTTGCTGGAAAGAATGTCATGTCAACCTCATCAACAGTCACAACTGGGCTCGTCTCCCACAAGTATATCTCAGCTCTCATAGTTATATATACTCACCTTATGCCGAGCGACCTGGCTATCGCATGTCTCATTAGTTCTTCTAAAACCAAGAAATCACATCCTAGAAGAACTTGGTGCATGAATGTAGTCCTTAGTTTGTGCCTGAGTTTTATGCTTACGGGCCTTGTTGAAATGCAGGTATGGAGACCAAGCAGCGAGTGCGACAAGTGAAGGGTTTGACACTGCAGGGCACGCCATTGGCACCGCCTGGGCCGTGTTCAAGATAAGGAAAGCTCTAAACCCAAAGAGTGCTTTCAAGCCAACATCTCTAGCCAAAGCAGCTGCGAAGGCTAGCGCTTCTGATCTTAAGTCTAAATCCTCGAAGTAAGGACAGCCAGGGATGCTGGTTCTTGTTTTACTTATGTTACAATGTATGATGGAATTTGTTTGTAAGTTGTAACCATATATATTAGATTTGTTAGTGCTGTACTGAAACAGAATATGTGCCTTCTTTTCAATTTGTAAGCAACAGTTTCAGAACAAGGCTCTGATGTGTTATGTATAGCCTTGAAACACTTCAAATTTTCACATGATGAACAGGAAAATCTGAGAGTTTTTGCGTGTTAAACAACAGAACCATATCGTGGATTTGTTTGCTTGCTTGCATTTGAAAGTTCAGACAAAAGAAGAGGAATCAAAGGGAAAATGGAAGAGGAGGAAGAAGAAGCAACTTGAGAGGAGGAAGACGAATCTTTTGAAATTGTTAAGTGTGTCGACATAAAAAAAAGTTTTAAGTGTGTCGACATGAAAAAGAAAGCCAAGTTGTCATGCCTCCGACTCCGAGCAACATAAACAAACAAAATTCTGAAATGAAGGGTGATTATGTAATATACCGAACTGTAGCGAGAAAGAGTTGCGAAAGGCAACACGATATAACAAGTTGATAGCTATGTGAAAAAGAGTTGGCGACTCGAGACTGATTTTGTATTGAATTTTTTAGCCGGAGATGCAAGGAGTTGAAGTTCTTAGTAATAAAAGAGAAATTGAGACTTCATTTTTTAAGAAACACTATCATATCAATGATTAATAAATTTTTCCGTCTTATTGGAGTCTAAATTGGTAAGCAATATAAAAAAAGGTCGAACTACGACTTCAATATAAAATCTACTACTGACTTTTCCGGTACGACAACTGTTATGATTTTATAATTCTTTCTATCAAGCTCAATGTTGGCCCAAAGTTGGCATCTGTGTCATGCCACTTACGAGTTGTTTGAAAATTAGAATTTCAGATGATATATTTAGGTAATACATATAATTAATAAATTTTTTAAAAAACATTAATTATGAATAATTTTTTTTACAAAAGATAATCATATATATTGATTGAAAACAGATAATTACATTCAAGACAACATCCAGGCTTGGAAATCAAAACATCGACATGTAGTCGGGTACAAAGAAAGGGCCTTTCTAGCCACCAAATGGGTTACCCTATTGCTACTCCGACCTACAAAGTGAACATTAAGCGCAGTATGAACCCTGAACACCCGAATGAGTTCCTCAAGAACAGACCCAACCCGACTATCCTGAGCATCTCGCCAATTGATTTTATCAATAAGGACTTGGGCATCACCTTGGAAACAAGTCTCCTGAAACCCCAATTCTAGGCACCAGCACACCGCCTCCCGTAGGACCAACAACTCTGCTACCATCGGGTCATCCATCCCAGGAAACTGCACCCCTCGAACCAGCAAGACATGACCAGTGAAGTCTTTTATCACAATTCCACTAGCCGAGTGAGACCCCGAGCTCGTTGCCCCATCTCACATACAAGTAATGGAATGCGACAGTTCGGCATTACCTGACACGGCAAGAGGCGGGGCAGAACGCAGACCCAGATCGACAGGGAGGCGTACCCATTCCTGATACTGTTGATGAAACTGACGGATGAGGACAGGAATCCCAAACTGTTTTCCTTCAAAGACAACACAATTTCGGGAACGCCAGATCCGCCAGAGGACCGCCACAACAACCATAAGCAAATGGGACTGATGTAAAACGGACAAAAGCTTCTTCAAGAAGAGAGGAAAATTATGCCGAGGCAACCCTTGACCAAGATGCTCAAGGCTCGACAGATCCAAAGCGCCCTGGCTACATGGCAGTCAAGGAAAAGATGCTCCATCGTCTCTTTTTCCGCCCAACACACCGGACACCGCGGCGCCACCTGAATACCTTTCTTAATCAAGGCCTCTGTCGTGGGTAAAAGCCGCTGAAGGACCTGCCATAAGAACACTTTGAGCTTAGGAGGAATATTAGCAGTCCACACACGGATCCAACTAGGCTTGTCCATCCAGCTAACACTAGATCGCCACCTGCCACCCTGCTTATCAAACAAGACCGCTAGGTGATAAGCCGACTTAACTGTGAACTTCCCATCCGTAGTCTCATGCCAAATGAGTCTATCCTCTATATCCTCACGAGGGAGAGGAATTGCCTTAATGGCCCGACATACTTCAGGATCAAACCACTGACTAAGCCTCTTATCACACCACTTACCCTCCCCCCTGACACATCATCGTATCCACCTTAGGATCACCCCCATCCGACAGGACTTGAGGATTATAAGTCGGTGAATTTGGGTAAATGAGAGGGATCCAGCTGGAGGAGAGGAGGGAGGCAGACCGACCATTACCAATTTGCCAACGCAGTCCGCGAACCAGCAAATCACGGGCAAACAGAATACTCTGTCATCCCCACGAAGGTCTCGACCTGGCTGTAGCAGTTAAGAAAGACCCGCGAGAGAAATACTTCCCCTTATAAATTTGAGCCAACAACGACTGGGGATCATTCAGAATTTTCCACCCAATCTTTGCCAACAAAGCTTGATTAAAGTGCTCAAAGCGGCGGAACCCCATGCCACCATCATGCTTACTAGTGCACATTTGGTGCCAAGACATCCATTGAATTTTAGAACGACCCCCTTCCACCCCCACCAAAACTGTGCCACATGTCTATCCAAAAGCTGGCACAAAGAGAGAGGTAGCTTAAAATAGGACATCACATGCAATGGCAAAGCTAAGGCCACTGATTTGATCAATGTTTCCTTAGTTGCCCATGACAAGGTCCGTTGCTTCCACCCCTGAAGTCGACTAAGCAGTTTTTCCTCTAGAAAACGGAACGTGGCCATCTTAGAGCGAGCAATCAACGATGATATCCCCAGATACTTATCATGCACCCCCACTGCTCCCACTCCCAAAATCTCTCTTAGAAATTCCCGATCAGGCCCCGAAACATTCTTGCTAAAGCACACCGCTGATTTTGCTAGATTTACCCTCTGTCCACTAAGCTCCTTGTAAGTGTTCAAAACCTCTATTAGGTTCTCACACTCCTGCAAGGAGCCTATGAGGAATAAATAAGAGTCGTCCGTAAAAAATAGATGCGAAATTCGAGGCGCCCTAAGAGCCACTTTTACCCCTTTCAACTTCTCCACCGAGATGGTCTGTCGAAGAAGAGCCGCAAACCCCTCAATGCAAAGCACAAACAACAGAGGGGACAGCGGATCAACCTGTCTCAGGCCCCGAGTCGGGGCAAAGAAACCCGAGGGTGTCCCTTTCATAAGCACCAAGAAAGAAGCTGACCGAAGGCACTCCATCACCCAGTCACACCAGACCGAGTTAAAACCTAACTTTTTCAAAATCGCAAGTATAAATGGCCACTCGACTCTGTCATAGGCTTTTTCCATGTCAACCTTTAGAGCCATTCTTCCTTTGCTTTTTGATTTTTAAGTAGTGCATTAACTCGTGGGCTCGTGGCCAAGTAAAATATTCTCCACAATTTGGCGTTCACGGATAAACGCATTTTGGCCTTCTGATATGATTTGGGGAAAAAACTGGGCCATCCTTTTTGCCATGATTTTGCAATGATTTTATACACAAACTGGGAGAGGCTAATAGGCGAAGCTGCTTCATATGTTCCACATTGTCTACTTTGGCTATTAGTGTAAGCTAAGTGTGATTGAAGCTACGAAGCATTCTGCTCGTGCTAAAAAATGAACGAACAACATCAATCACTGAGGTCCCCACTATCCCCCAAAAAGACTTAAAAAAATTCCCAATAAACCCATCCGAACCTGGAGCTTGCTTAGAGCCCATCGAGAAAACCGTTTTACGAATTTCGTCCGGAAGGACTTCCGCCGTAAGAACCGTGTTCATTTCTGCAGAAACCTTACTGTCAAGTGGAAGGGCATCAATCTGGCATCCATGTTCAGGACCTGGGTCTCTGAGGTAAAGAGGTGGTGATAAAAATTTGTCGCAATATCAGCCTTCCCTTTTTCCTCCACAACCCACTCACCCTCCTCATTGTGATGTCCTGCAACGAAGTTGCGTTTTCTACGAGTCTGGGTGACCGTGTGGAAGTACAAAGAATTTTTATCTCCCTTCTTAAGCCAGCGGACTCTCGATTTTTGTTGCTAGTAGGCCTCCTCGACCTCTCATTGTCTATTAAGCTCAGTCTCCAACACCCTAACCTCCTCCCAATTAATCGGACGGTAGAGCTTGACCCTATCAATTTCAGCCTGGAGTGTCTTAATATTTCTGAGCGAATTCGTAGTACATGTTCTTCTCCAGTCATAAAGAAGGTGGCGAAGCTTCTTCAATTTCTCCCACAACTTGTACATCGGGTTACCAGACACTTCCTCAGCCCAAACATAGGTCACCATCGCTTTGACTTTCGGGTTATCTGCCCAACGAGCATCAAAGCGAAAAAGAGGCAGACTATTCCTAACATAGGGCTTATCCGAGAGAATTATAGCTCTATGATCAGAACCTTGATTCGTGAAATGCTTAAGAAGAGTATCAGGGAAACTTTCTAACCAGTTATGAGAGCAAAGAGCTCTATCCAACCGTTCACGGATACTGGCCGCCCCCATTCTTTTATTAGTCCAAGTAAATTAGTCACCTTGGTACCCTGGATCCTGGAGACTAAAGTCATGAATAAAGTCCATGAGAGGAATAAGAGGGGCAACAACCCAGGGGTTACCATCATCCTTTTCAGTCTCGTTAAGAGTGACATTGAAGTCTCCTAAGATCACAAAAGGTATATGGATCTCATCACAAACTTGGTGAAGAATGTGCTATTGACTAGAGCGAGTGGCTTCATGACAGCTCAAATAAACACAAACCACCACATTAGAAAAAATTACTTTCATTAATCCGAACACAAATAGAAAAATCCGAATGAAAAAATACCGAAGCATCAACTTCGGGGGACCAAGCTACAACTAAGCCACCAGAAGTATTGATGGCATCAACAAAAAAACAATGGGTCGAATTGAAACCTAACCCCCGCATCCTGCGGGTTACTACTCTCCAGCTCGATCTTGTTTCCGAAAAGAAGACAAGGTCCGTTTATTGGAATGAAGTGAACTAATCCTACAACAGTCTGGAATGTGAGGGATGACCCAATTCCTCTCACATTCCAGGCAAGCAACCTCATTGGTCGGATGGGGGCCACTCTAGGCTGGCTTCCTCCATCTTTTCATCATTTGGCACTTCTTCCACAAATTGTTTCTTTGGATTCGGAGACTCCTCAATGGCTCCTTCCACCTCCTCAATGGTTCTTTTGGTACCACCATTACCAGCTTCAAGAAGGTTGGATCCATATTCATTCAGCTTCCAGATCATCCCCTTTTTCAGATTGTGGGGGGGATTCAGAGTTCTCCCTGGCTCCATGTCCCATCTGCACCGTGGCTCCACTCCCCTTGCCTCCCGCATGGAGCACCATCCCAGCCTCAAAAGCTGCCACTACCTGGCCCACTCGTCCCTGAGTAACCTGAGTGTCTGTGGCCGGTCCTCTCCCCCGGGTACGACTCCTAATCTCATAGCAAAGCTTCTCCTCTGAAGAAGAAGAGGTCATCGAGCTTGTTTCCTTATAGTGACCACCCTCTGCCACCAGTGAGGGAGAACGACGACCCTGATTAGGGGGAGAGCCAACCAGCACCGGAACATCAACCAAGGTTTCCTCACCGATCACAGGTATTGCAACGTCCACACAACGAGGACTTGTTATTATCAATTGATGAGTACGTCCTCCTCGGGGCTGCCCTTCCGAACCAGTATTCTTCTTCGAAGTTTAGGCCTTCCTTAGCCGACGTGGAGCAGCTTTGAGCGGCGCCACTCGTTCTCTCCCAGCTTGAGGCACGGCCCGACCCCTAGGCTTTGGATGAGCTTTCATAATTTCGTGACCAGGCTTCTCCATCTCCCCATGTTGCATGGTTTTCATGGGGGGCTTCAAAAAAGGGAGATCATCTTCAGATTCCTTCATGTTGCATGGTTCTGCGAGGATTCATTCTTTGGGCAGGCTGGTCGGCTGCACCCAATTCCGACTCACTCTCTTCATCACCCAGCGACACCTGTACTCAATGCAAGTTGCTTTTTGCTGGCCGCCGCTGCAACGACTCCCCTTTCCCACGCATCTCCATCATGTAAACAGTCTGGGAGTGGGAGTCACTGGCATTAGAGTCCTCGGCCTGCCGAGCAACTGACCCTTCTCTACCGCGACGCCTCCCCCAATCATCTCTGCCGGCTGTGGAGCTCTTTCCTTGCCCGGGCGAGGCTGCTCCCCAGTCATAGTCCAAGGAGTTGATTGGTTAATTCCTCGACCGACAGTGATACGCAGCGATTTTCGCACGTTAAACCCACGGGGGCTGCGACCCTTTTTTATCCGCTCTGGGGCCGGATCCATCTGCTGCTTCTGGGGATGGCGCGACGTGGATTGGGCCTTTTTATTTCCCATACGGAGCCCCTCCTGTCCGTCGCAACTTTGGGATCTCACTTCACCTTCCCGTTGTTCCTGAACCTCTCTGTTAACCCATACTATTCTTGACCCACCTCGATATGCTGGAAGTTCGTCATCTTCATCATAGAGACGGATAGCCAATTTCTTTGTGGACATATGGGGTCCGAATCTTTCTTTCCGGGTGGGAGGGTCAAAAGAACAGTCACTCATCAATCATCATGTGACCAACTCGGCCACACTTAAAACAGAACGAGGGCAAGTGCTTGTATTTTAAATTGACCCAGAAGCAGCCTGTTTCGTCACTAGTTGCCATAATTTGGGATCTTAACGGCTTTGAAAATCAATTAAGGCCTTGATCTTGACGAAACACTGGTCCATGTGCGTACAAGTAAAAACACCTAATTCTAGGACATGGCCAATTGCGTCGTTAGCCATCTTCCTGCCAAACTGTTTTGTACAACAGTCATCCGGCATCCCCCAGAGTTGAACACGGAAGGGGGCGACGTTAAGCTCATCGAAAATCTTCTTCGAGGCATTAGGAACCCAAGCATGAACATGCAGTATTTTATCCTTTATCATCCACAGAGTTTGTTTCAGCACCCAGTTCCTTGATGCCTCACTTGGCAACACAAATTCAAATAATCCGTGTTTGGCCATCATCACCTTGATCTTACCCTTCCCCTGCCCAGGGAAGTTCAACGACTCCTTCAGCTCCAGGACCAACACCTTGCTAGTTGTGAACACTTGTCCCACCAGCGCACAAGTGCTACGAAACTGCACTGGTTTAACCTCCGCAGTGAGAACTGAACAACCTGATCTTCTTGTATGCGAGCCATGGGTGTCACCTGCGAATCGGAAGGAGGTATCAGCATACCAGGGTGCGGGATAAAATCCACAGGCTCCTCCCCAAAATCACCTTCAGAACTACAGTTTGAGCAAGGAGGGGGAGAAGAGACACGAGGACTCGAGGCGAACCCCAATAGGCCAGTACAAGGGATAAGGGGAATCCGCAAACCTGACGTCGGCACAAGACTTGGGTGAAAGCGTGTATTCTCTGACGTCGCATGAAGCACTAGTGGGTTAGGGAAGGCCTAGGAGTTGTGGTTGGCTGCTTCCCTAACTTGACCTGCTTCCTGTTCTGTCGGCAGGTCTTCTCGATCTCCGGATCTAGTGGCAGTAAATCGCTAGTCGTCCTCCTAGGCATGCACGAGGAGGATAAACCTGAAAATTCTTCTGCACACTAACACCCAGATCAAAATAGTTCACTCACAAAATTCAACAAAAATAAGGTATGGCAGTCCCCGGCAACGGCGCCAAAAACTTGATAGGGCAAAAGCGTATGCCTTAATCCTATCTTGTAGTAAAACCGGAAAGTCCGGGTATCGTCTCTCAGGGACTAGTACAACCTTAAGATTTACCGATTTAATAGAGCAAACTATAGGTGAAAATGGTTTAATGAGATTATTAACTACTATCAAAATTAACTAATTAAGCAAAGTAAAAAGGTCGAGGGAAATTCAATGGAGAAAGCTCTGGGAGAAACACCGGGATTCACTACCTATCCTATCCAGATTAATTCACATATTCTAATCAGTTTAATCCAACTCTCTACAGCCAGGATATCACGGAAGTGCTAGCTATCCCTGTCGGGAATTACTACGTACTAGATAATCAATTCAAATCCTACTGTCGTAGCTCAATGAATTAACTATACAGCGTGAAGATCGATATCCTATTTAAGACCGCATAGCACCTTATTTAATCCACTGTCGCTTCGATAAGTTACTATGTCACATGAAATAGGATCAGTTAATAGGGTTTCACTGTCGCTAATAACCTAATTAACTACGATTCATTGTATTGGTGGCCACTCAACACAAAGCATTAAGTAATTTCATGCAATAGAGATCGGAGGAAAAGAAAAACGAATCAATCCATCAAATCAAGAAATAGCTACATCCTATGGTGTTTCCCCCAGAAATCGGGGTTTAGTTCATGACGAAATTGAGATAAATCGATAGGGTTTTGTTCATCATGTTCTAAATTAACAATAAACAACTAATTCGGTTCAGAGAATCCAACCAACTAATCGCTCTCGTTGAACTCAGCTCAAGCCTTGAAGAAGTCGATCGAAAATCTCAATCGCACTGCTCCTGCTGCTGCTATGCTTTTCCCTTCCAAAGAGTTCTCGCCAAAAACCAATTAAGTGTCGCCCTCTCTTTTTTATTATAATTCCGTGTCCCCACTTCCAATATTCTGTCCGCCCTCCTTTTAAGGGATCCGCCAAAAACCCCAAAGAGATTTTTTTTTCTTCCCTTCAATAAATCCCCCGTCCAAAATATAACTCCTCCTGGCCCAAAATTATTCCCCCGCCTCAAGAATTGAGAAGAGTCGAATGGGATCTGGCCCACTTCCAAGTCCAATTCCTCTGGGCCTTGAGCCCAAGTGAGTAGTCCACCAGTAATTCGTGCCCGATTTATTGGTTGCGCACTCGCTCCTTTTTCGTGCTTTCTCCACCTGTATCATATCAAACTCATGGCACTAGGCAGTAATGGTTTTTCAACCATTCTCGGGTTAGCGAGCCCTAAAATAGCACCAATTGGCTAAAACATACCATGAGATAATCAGATAAAGTCCAAGAACAATGAATTGTTGCTTATCACAACCCCACACTCAATTGTTGCTTATCCCTAAGCAACGACTCAAAAGACACAAACACATAACCATCCAAAACAATGACCCACCACAGACTCACTAATCAAATACTCAAAGCAAAACAGAAAATTTCCTTGTACTCTTGTTGTAATCAGTAGTTTCTTTCTCAACGGAGAAGTTGTGCTCTAATGGTCATACCTTTCACCCCACACTCAAGGTCTTTGCAACCCTTAACCATTGACTGACTCAAATCCATCCAAAAACTCAGATAGCAACACTCAATTTCGATCGTCAATAGTGGGTGGTTAACAACTTATGGTGCAACCATTATTAGGAGAATCTAACCACAACAGTGAGGTGCATATCTCGTGAGCACATCACTACCTTTTATGAAAAGGATAGCTTTCTCTCTTTCTGATTTTGCTAGCCGAGTGGTCGTATTTAGTACAAGTGGGATTTGTTTCTTACTACCGGTGACCGAGCAAGAGCAATTTCTGCTTCTTAGCACTCGTATAAGGGCTTCTTTCAACTCCTTTTCCTCGGTCCGTGTGGAGGGTCACTGCACATCCTCAAATGGCACTTCACTCAACTGGGGATCGTACTTGATAAGTAACATCGTACGGTCGCGAACTGATTCTCAATTGAATCTTTCCTAATCCCCATGTGCAATGAGTGATTGCCTCACACGATTTTGGCATTTTTACCCACACTTTAATTGTTATGGCAACTTTCTTATATTTTACTTGTCAGGTAGTGTTTTCTTTTATAAAGATACAGTTCACCCCATCATAAAACCATCAAAACAGAGAGACTCGTTGCAAAATCAAAAGCTCACAATTGATGCAAGTAAGCACAGTATCCAAACATGTCGAATGGTCAATGTTCTCCACCTAACTACTTCACCAAAAGTCATTACACTATCCTCACAAAAGAGAATGTTGCTAAAAGAATTTGCTCATTCAAAGCATATCAAGTCAGTCAAAACATTCAAGCTCATTGTGAAGAACTTTGCAATTCAACACTAGTGGGGTGATTTTGATGATTTCATTCAAGCACAAACTCATTTTCAAGACATCACGGTCATTTACATCATGTTACCACAAGAGTACAAGGTTTTGTTTTTAATTTTCCTGATTTTTAGGTGTTTTTTAGCCATTAGCTTTGCACATGCAACCTGCTTTTTACACAGGCAAACTGCATGCAATTTGGCTGGCTGTGCTCAACCTAATGGCTTTTTTTTGGATTTTTTTTACCGACCACATGACAAAAGGAACAAACAAACACTAAGACTCGCCACCCCACACTCAGGATGGAACATTGTCCCTAATGTTCAACTCCTAATCTAAACATGCACGGGTTTGACACAACTAAAAAGAAAAATAAAGAAAAGAAAACTTACCTTGGGTTGCCTCCCAAGAAGCGCTTGTTTAACGTCCTCAGCCTGACGTTCATGGAGCTTTCAACCAATGGGTATGGAAAGGTATCCAGAATACCCTCCCGAGCAATGCTAGAACGCATAACCTCCATCCAACATATGAGTCACCTCAGCAGGGCCAGGTGTGCGAAAATTTGGTATGACCTTCTTAGTTGGCATGTTGGATCCTTTAGTGAGGCGTAGGTGGTATTGCAGCGCCTCAAGCAAGTACTCTTCCTGTTTCAATGTCAGTGAAGAAGGAATAATAACAGGAAGATTGAAATCCTTACCCAAATATCTATACTTGAGGTGCCCTGGCAAGGATTGTTGCCCTTGCTTTGATTTCAGACTTTGAGCTGCTAGGACATGTGATAGTTCTTTGGGTGGTCCACTATCACAGGAAGAGGAATTTTTCCTTTCTCGAGCTCCACTTTCAAGGTCATCAATTGCATCGTGATTATGATCAACTTGAAAGACATTAAAAATTTCCTCCTCCTTACCTACTCGGAATGTCAACTTGCCTCTCCCAACATCGATGAGTGCTTCACCGGTTGCTAGAAAAGGTCTACCAAGAATGAGAGGCACTCCTCGATCTTCTTCCATCTCTAGAATAACAAAATCTGTAGAGAGAATAAACTTCCCCACCTTCACCAATACATTCTCCACCACTCCCTTTGGAATTTTCACTGATCGATCTGCCAATTGGAGAGTGATCCGAGTAGGTTTAAGAACATCTCCCAATCCCAATTTCTTGTAGACTGAGTATGGCATCAAATTAATTCCTGCTCCAAGATCACAAAGTGATTTATCGAACTCTCTACCTCCAATGACACATGGAATGGTGAAGCTGCCCGGATCATCCCTCTTTTCTAGTAATTTATTCTGAATCACAGCACTACATTCAGAAGTAAGGGTTACCTTCTCCAGATCAGCCCATTTGTGCTTCCTCGTCAGCAACTCCCTTTAGAATTTAGCATATGTAGGCATCTGTTCAAGTGCCTCCGCCAACGGTATGTTGATATGAAGTTGCTTGAAGATATTCACAAATTTCTTGAAGTTTGGGTCTTCCATGAGCTTCATTAACCTTTGAGGGAATGGTGCGGGAGGTTCATAAGGCTTTACCTCTTCCTTCTTCAATTTTTCCACTTTTTGAGGTACACGGGCAGAATGCTCATGCACAGGCAGATTGCATGCAGTTTGCCTGTGCAAGTCAGATTTTTCAGCTTTTGCACTTTCTTCATCCTCTACCTCTACAACTCCTTCTTTTTCAGATTTTGTTGACTTCCTTGAACTCTCTGGATCCTCCAAGGCCTTTCCACTCCTCAATGTAACAGCTACAACCATGGCGTCCTTCGGATTTCTCTCGGTATTTGCTGGTAAAGTTCCCGGAATCGTACCTTGAATATCTGCCAAAGTTTGAGCCATCTGGCCTATTTGCCTCTCCATAGCTAGCATAGATGATTGCATATTGTTGTTGATGGCTAGCTGTTGAGAGACAAATTGATCAAGACCCTTGAAATTAATGTCTGTTTTCTGCATATGAGCCAAAATCAACTCTTCCAGTTGGGGCTTCTTCTCTGGTTGAGGTTGCTGCTGTTGAAAACCGGGAGGTGGGATGTTTCGGACACCAGCTGGATTATTATTCGACCATGACATGTTGGGGTGATGTCTCCATTGAGGGTTGTATGTATTTGAATACATACCACCCTGGCCTTGACTTCGCGGATTATTGATATAGTGCACATCTTCCAACTGATCAGCTACCAGTGGACATAGATCCCTATGATGAGAACCTTCACATAATTCGCAAAAAGCAACCTCCTCTTGTCTACCAAGAGCCATCTTAGCCAGCCTTCGTTCGAGTGCATCGAACTTAGAATCCAGCTTAGCATCTATCTTGGCTTCTAGACTCGCAACTCTGTTTATCTCATGCAAGCCTCCTCTTCTTCGAATACTGGTCTCACTACCCCATTCAGTGGCTTCTGAACAGATCTTCTCTACTAGATCATATGTTGCTGGTGCCTCCATGCTTGTGAAACCATTTCTTGAAGCATTATTCAGGGCATCCCGGAACTCCCTTCTGATTCCATTGAAGAAAATAATGATCACGTTCCAATCTTCAAGACCATGGCTTGAGCATCTCATCAATAGCCCCTTATAGCGCTCCCATGCCTCAGTCAGACTCTCATCATCAGCCTGCTTAAAAGTAACAATCTCTTCTTGCCTCTTCATTGCCAAGGCAGGTGGGAAGTATTTATCCAGAAAGACCTTCTCAAGCTGAGCCCATGTCACGATGGAATGTGGTGTTAAGTTCTGAAACCAGTGTGATGCATTCCCTATCAGAGAGAATGAGAACATCCGAAGATGAATTGCATCATCAGACACAGTTGGGCTCTTCTTCGTATCACATATGCTCGCAAACCCGCGAAGATGCTCGTGAGGATCCTCACTGCTAGCCCCAGAGAAAGTATACCCATTGGCGAACATGTTGATGAAGGCTGGGGTAATCTCCATGGTTGCATCCCCAGCCGGAATGACAACACATGAAGCTCGGGCTCCAGTCCTTCGATTCAAGCGAGCCCTGATCGAACGATCCTGTTCTGCCATGATGACAGGCTCGATAATGCGAGGTGGTGGTTTTGGTGGTGTAGGGATGACAGGTGATGAAGCCTGTCCTCTCTGTCGAGGACTATGGGTTAGGGAAGGCCTAGGAGTTGTGGTTGGCTGCTTCCCTAACTTGACCTGCTTCCTGTTCTGTCGGCAGGTCTTCTCGATCTCCGGATCTAGTGGCAGTAAATCGCTAGTCGTCCTCCTAGGCATGCACGAGGAGGATAAACCTGAAAATTCTTCTGCACACTAACACCCAGATCAAAATAGTTCACTCA